CTCTCCTGGCACCGTGTGCCCTGGAGTCCCCAATACAGCGGCTGCATTTGTCATACTTGTGTGTCTGCTTGTCATCTCGGTCCCCTCCCCGGGGCCGTGGGGCAACCGAGGGTGTCCAATGTCTGCTCAAGGGCAGCCCGGCCCCGTGGGCCTCAGGAGAGACCTCGGACACTGCAGATTTCCATCCCGGGTCTGCAGGCACCCCCAGGGTCTGCTCGCTTCAGGGGGGTCCCCGATATCTCGAAGTGTGCCGTGAGTGCGCCCGGTCGGACCGCCCTGACCGGGGAGACCAGGGAGCGGACGCCAGGTGGCTGGTGCAGCTGAGAGAGCGGGGAGATGTTTGCGTTTCTGTGTCCTTTTTCTTTGCTTTAGAAAAATCGCTGGCGGCCAGTGCAAATGTGTTTGCAGAAGGAACGGCTGGTAAAGTTCAAGGTCGTGTTTGGATTCGGTCCCAGCAAACTGAGGCCGAGCATGTGCCGGGCGGGGGCGGGGGGGGGGGGCTGCCAGCTGCCAGGGGCGCCCGAGCCGGCAGCCGGTGCAGGCGGGACGGCCAGGGCTCCGCTCCACACTGGCTCAGGCCGCCCCTCGCACCCACAGCGTGCGTCCCCAGCCCAGAGTGGCAGTGCGCCCTCACCCACAGGCCTGGTGGCCTCGGGTCACAGCCTGAGAGGTAGCTCTGGTGCCGTCAAATCTGCACCCACAGAGTTCAGACCCTGCATCCTGTCCCGACCCCGGGAAGGCCCCTCTATCGGAACCCCACAGACTCTGGAGTTTGGGGGGGGGCGGGTTCAGGGAAACTGCGCCCACGCCACCCCTGAGAGGTCAGAGCCGGTCTGACTGGGCGCACCTGCGGCCTCGGAGTTGGGTTCCTGAGTCTCCCAAAACCAAGGCCCTTCTGGACCCAGACCGGGCCCGGGAGCCTCGGCGTCCCTCCCTGCCCCAGACAGGAAGAGCTGTGGGTGGGGTTCATCCCGGGGTCGCGGTCCTGTTCTTCCACCAGGAGCCAGAGGCCCACCCTCACCGGCTGCCTCCTGGTCACGCGGCCAACGGCCGTCCATGTCGGCCGTCGGGGGCTGCTCCTGCTCCCAGGTCCAACTTCCGATTCGTACACCGGAGGCCGAGGGCAGAGGGTCGGGCATGTGTGTGTGTGTGTGTGTGTGTGACCTAGAGAGAGAGAGGGGTGAGGAAAGGTCTCGGATTCCACTTTGTGAGCCCCGCAGCCAGCGCCCCGGAGGGAGAAGCTCGGGGCAGGGAAGTGGTCTGTGGGGGGCGCTGTGGGCCCCCGGGTTCCTGTAGCACCAGCCACAGCGGGGCCCCAGGGACAAGGGACGTGCACCGAGGACAGTGAAGTCGGCACCCGCCAGGGGGGCCAGGCACCCGGGGTCGGGGGCACACTGCCCCCTGAGTCTGCCTGGGTGTGCTCACCTGCGGGTCCCATCCCGTCGGCTGCCTCTCGGGGACCCCGCTCTGCGGGTGCTTCCCGAAGGCAGAGACGTGGTGGGGGTCTCGCACTCCTGCTCTTTGTTTCTGGGTGCGCTCGCCTGCAGGCTGGGGTGGCCGCGTCCCCGCCCATGCCGAGGGGGCGCAGCAAGACGGCCCAGGCGTGGACTGACGAGCCCCAGTTCCGGGCCCAGGGCGTGCGGACCCTGCCGACGGCGCCGGACTCACCATGGCCCGGCCCGGGCGCGTGTCACACTCGGCGCTCAGCCGCTGCGCGGTGCGTTCGGTGGCTGTGCCCGGCCCCCACTGTGCCGCCTCTCCCCGCATGTCACGTCAGAGGGACCACACCCTGTGTGGCCCTCTCAGACGGGCCTCCGCCACTCAGCGACACACAGCAAAGCTCGCTCCACTCTCTTCGTGGCTGGGCGGCTCATCGGCCGTCCCTTTTCAGAGCGAAAGGAAATGGAATGTGGGCGTTTGTCCACCTGACATTTCTGAAGCCCCTGCTGATGCCAGATGCCCCCAGCGGTCGGTGCTGGAGACCTGGGCGGGGGGAGCGGGCCCAGCGCCCGCAGCCCCGGCCCGCAGACTGGCCGAGTGTTCGCAGCCGCAGTGAGGCCAGCAGGGCGGTGGCAGCCTCGGGGGCACAAAGGACAGTCTCGGGGCTGCCCCGGCCTCCTTCAGCACCTGGAGGGCGGTGCCTGGACGCTCTGTGGCGATGCGGCAGGTGGGGAGGGCGGAGGGGTGGGTGGAGGGATGGGGGGGGACGGGCAAGCAGACTGTCAGCGGCAGGCGTGTTCTCGCCCCAGCACAGCCCTCCCTACACGCTCACCTCTGCTCGCCAGACCGTCCCCGACTCCCCTAACAAGGAAAACAAGCAGAAGCCATGTCTCGCGACCGCGGCACAGCCCCCCGGCACGCCGGGCCGGGCCGGGGGCCACGCAGCAGCCTGCCCCCGGAAATGTCAGGCGGGCGGCCGCCGACCCGCAGCGGATCCTCGCGTCACTCGCCGCCGTCTCCCGGTCACCTGCGCTGCTGCTCTCCGAGCGAGCAATTAGAAGTGACGAGGGTAGAGGGTTAACCCACAGCCTCCTAATGAGGGCGCCTCGGGCTCCCCTCCGTGGGCGCGTGTTCCGGCACCGGCCGGGACAAGCCTTGCTGCGCCAGCCCTGCTGCAAGCCGGTGGGATGGCCGGGGGACACGGTGATTTCTTGGAGGAAGGTTTTGCGCATTCCTGGAGAAAGGGAGGGGCAGGTGCCGGCTGCGCAGCCGAGAGCCAGCTTGTGTGCAGTGCACGCTGGGGGTCGGGTGGGCGTGACCCTCAGACTCAGACGCTGGCGGGGACCCCTCCCCACCGGTTCCCCGCACTCCCTTAACGCTGGCCCCCAAAAGGGGGTGTCTGCTCAGGACACCCCTCACTCCCAGGGGCTGCTGGACCTCCGGAACCGCCCCTGCGTCACGCGGGTGGCCCTTCCCTCTTGGCTGACCCCACACACCCTACAGGGCTCCCCACCCCCACACCGGGGACTCCCAGCCTGGTCGGGGCCCCTCTCGGCGGCCCACAGAGGCCTGTGTGGTCCTTTCCCTGTCGCCTCCCAGCCCAGCCTCCGTCTGTCCTGTCTTCCCGAGTGGACCCCAGAGCCGGGCACCAGGGGCCACACCTGTTGGTGGCATGGACACCCTTGGGCGACCTTGGGCCAGGGCCTTTGCTCCGAGGGCCTATCTCCTTCCCGCTCAGATGGGTGACAAGCGGCAGACCAGCGGGAGGGCGGCGGGCTTGACATTTGCCTCCGACGCCCCCGCACCCGCGCCTGCTCTGTCAGCACCACACGCGGCGTGGCCGCGTCCTGCAGCACCGCGGGCCCTCCCCGGGCGGCCCGGTCCCACGAGTGTCGTCGGGGATCCGCTTGGGCAGAACACGGGGCCGGCTCACGCCTTCCGAGCTCATCCCTCAGCAGTCACAGAACTGCCGCTCTTGTCCGAGCCGGTGACGATCGGGCGTCAGAACCAACCGGCTCCCCGGGCCGCTGCTGACCTTAGTCTGTTCACCGTGGGGTGAGCGGCACCCAAAACGCAGCCCGGGATGTCCCCGCCCCTGAAAACGGGGTCACCCCCTCGCCGAGGGGGAGCTCCACGGAGCCTCGGCCCACGGGTGACCTCGGCCGGCGTCACGCACCTGGGGACCCCGCTCCTGGGGCCCTGGCGACCCCCCACGTGCACTCTCTCCAGCCAGATGGGGCGGGATCACCTGCTGGCTTCCCAGGGAGAAGCACCTCCGTGTTAACCCGACACGGGGGGGGCCGCCGAGGTGCGGCGTCCCAGACGCAGGAACACACACGTTGCGTGTCGTCTCGGTGCTGGCGACAGTGAAACGCGGTGGGCGGAGGGAAAACACCGGATCACGCGTAGGGGCGAGGGGCTGGCTTTTCGCTTCGGAAATAAACAGTAATTAAGTCACGTGTGTTGTGACAGTGGAATCGCTTCAGAACCCGGGCCTCCCCCCACACTTGCTGAGGTGCCCACGCTTTCGTAAACACTCGGCAACCTCGCCCGTGGCTCCCGTCGGCAGAGCCCGACGCCGGCGGCTGGTGCCGCGTCATTTACAGCAGCGCGTGGGTACAGATGGGCCCCGTGGGCCGAGTGGGGACCCTCCCGCGGAGGGACGCCTGCTGGCCGTGGGGGGGGCGGGCATGCTGGCCGTCGGTCCCTGACTCAGGTCTGGGCAGCGAGCATCGCGCCTGCGGCGGAGTGGGCAGCCCCGCTGCCTGCACTCCGTGTCCAGGCCACCGAGGGAGCGCTCGGCTGCCCCTCGGCTCTGCCGGTCCCACTCTGGCCCTGCCGCCCCGCCGCCCCGGCAGGTGTCGGGCTTATGTTGGGGAGTAAACAGGCCGGAGAACGCGGCAGTTCGAGCTCCGCTCAGAGCCGCTGGCCTCAGCATGCACTCGGCCGTGCCCCGGGTGGGACAGGGCCCTGCGAGCCGCCCCACCGCCCGCGGGCCAGGGAGCCGCCGTCCAGGCGGAGGACGCCCAGCCCCCGACTCCAGAGAGCCCCGGGCCGGGAGGCCACACGGCTGCCCCTCAGATTTCTCACCAGTGCGTCCCTGGTCTCCCGTTTCCTGTTTCGTTTTTAATAAGCAACACTTCTATTTCTTTTTAAAATATTTTATTATTTATTTTATTTTTTAGAGAGGGGGAGGGAGAGAGAAAGAGAGGGAGAAAAACATCAGTGTGTGGTTGTCTCTCGTGCGCCCCCTACTGGGGACCTGGCCCGCAACCCAGGCATGTGCCCTGACTGGGAATTGAACCAGCGACCCTTTGGTTCGCAGTCCAGCACTCAGCCCACTGAGCCACACCAGCCAGGGCTTTGTTTCCTGTTTCCAAGGCCTCTGTGTGCTCCCGGGAGAAGAGGGACACCCAGCACCGGGAGTCAGCACGGGGTTTAAGTCGCTGATTCCTGCTGTTGTTAGGGACCCCGAGCCTGCCGCTTCAGAGGGCGCCCCTGCAGCCGCCGCCCCGCCCCTCACCCACAGGGCCCTGACCCTTCTCTCCCTCCTCTTGCAGTCAAGTTCCGCAGCTGTCCGGGGACGGAGGGGACACAGTATGAGACCAACAGCGTGGACTTCAAAGTCGGGGCAGACGGCACGGTCTTCGCTGCCCGGGAGCTGTGGATCCCCTCCCGGGAGGTGGCCTTCACTGTGACCGCATGGGACCGCCAGACGGCCAAGCAGTGGGACGCCGAGGTGCGGCTGCTGGTGGCCCAGACCTCGTCCGGACACCAGGTAAGGGGGACCACACGGGCAGGAGTGGTGAGCGTCCTTCCCCCGGGGTCGCTGCCCCGGGATCTCTGTACGTTCCCTGAGGACAGGCGGACCGCTCAGTGGGCTGCACTGGCAGGGGGTCCCTTCTGACCGCCCACCTCCCTGAGGCAGGGCCACCTCCACACACACACATACACACACTGCTGTCACCACCCTGATGGTCCTGGTCACAGTTCCCACGGGAACCACGTTTCCAGCGGGTGCTGGGCCCGGCCCACGCTGCAGTCTCTGCTACCTGAGGCTGGGGGCTCCCGAGGCTTGGGGGACATGGGTGGTGGTAAGACAGAGCCCACGTGGCCAACCATGCCGGACGGCCAGAGCGGGTGGTGTCAGAGTGATTCAGAGAGACAGAGGGAGGGAGGAGACGGGAGGGAGGGGAGCAGGAGGAGGGAAGGAGGCGGGGTGGGGGGGAGGGACCGGGGAGGGGCAGTTGGCTCCACACACGCGAACCAGAGGCCCCCACCCCACCCTGTGATGGCAGCTCCCCGACCTGCCCTCGGGGCCCTGTCTGTGGGATGGAGTGGGGTGCACCCACCTCCCCTGGTCCTCAAAGGTCTCCCTTGTCGCCCCGTGCCCCAGCAGCCCGTGGTCAGCCCCCAAACCCTCCGTGTCGTGTCTCACCTGTCCAAGGGGCACCAGGTCCCGTCCCCTCCTGCCGTCCCAGGTTTCAGCAGCAACGGTGGCCTCGGGCGTGGGGGCTGCCAGGCCAGTGGAGACACCCCCACCCAGCTGGCCAGGGGCTCCCGTCCAGCTGCCTGCGGGGGCTGCCGGTGGGCGGGGGGAGTGTGCTGAGCCCCTCACGGTCCCCAGGAGCCCGTGGGCCACCGTGTATGTGTGACACCAAGCGTGGGGCTCTCGGGCAGAGGACAGTGTGTGTCTGCAGCAGAACAAGGTGACCTTGGCCTCACCGGGTCCCTCAGAAAAGGGCCCTCAGGCAGGCAGCAAAGGCTTAATCCAAGTTGACCGGAACCCCGGCTTTGGGTCTGCCCAGAGCCTCTCGCAGGACGGTCAGCCGTCTCTCCAGACCGGTCAGCCGGTCAGCCGAGGAGCCCTCTTCCCGGAGCTTCCGGGAGGCAGGGGCCCCGGGGCACCCGCTGCGGGGAAACGGGGTCTCGGCTCAGGTCGCAGCAGAGGAAGTGGGGGCTGGGGTCACAGCATTCTCGGGGCAGAGCTGGCCCTGCCGGAAAGGACACCCCGAGTGTCTGGCACCAGACGTCACCACGCGCTTCTAACAGCAGCGCCCCCCAGAGCGAGGGCCTCGCCCCGGGACAGAGGACTCGTTTCTCCTTCTCGCCTGAGTGACTGTCACGAGTCCCGCCCTGACCCTGAAGGGAGGGCAGTGAGCAGGGGGGCTGGGGGGGCAGCGGCCTCCCTGGGGCCTCGGTCCCACTCAGGGCCCTTCCCTCCAGGGGGCAGGGTGGGCGCAAGGACGGGGGAGCAGCTCCCACCCTGCTGTCCCCTCTGCGCCGCAGACTCCAGGCGTCTTGTGAGCAAGGGGCCCCCCGAAGGCCTCCCCAGGACCTCAGACGAAGGGCACTGACTGGAAACATAACAACAGCTCTTCGTTCGGCGTGTTCACGGAGAGGTTTCTGATGCCATTAGCCACCCCCATCCTCCGGGGAGGCGATCGCAATTAGCCGACCCCCGATCCCCGCTCTGGGCCGGCAGGGCAGAGCGTCCCGCTGAGCCGCAGCCCTGGGTGCGGGAAGGAGGCCGGCACAGGTGGCGGCAGAGTCTCGGCGGCCGCCAGCCGGCCCCGTGTCCGTACTGCAAACCGAGTTCCCCGCCCCCGCTTTCTGAGATGTCACGTAGGCCCTGCTCCGAGAGGCACCAACTGGTCTAACCCACACGCCCCCGTGGGCCGCTGCTGGGGGCGCCGAGCCCTGTGACCTCAGCCCCTCTGCCCCACGGGGAGCCCGTGTCCCGGAACAGGGACCGGCCAGCTGCCGTGGAGCCCAGCGTCCCGAAGGCGGCCGCTGCCCCGGGCCGCGGGCTGGAGTCGGGGCCCCTCTGACGAGGCGGAAAGTCAGCCATCTGAGCACTCCTGTCAGGGAGTTGTGGAAGGACCGGGACACGGAGCCCCAGGTGGAAGGAAGGAAGTAGTGAGACCACGAGGAGGAAAGAGTAGAGAGAATCGAGGGACAAAGGTGCCCTCTGTGAGCTCCTGAGCCTCACGGGTTCCAGGCAGGAAATCGCAAAGCGTCGCAGCCGGAAAGGAAGAGGGCGCCGCGGCCAGTGTCCCGGACGGCGGGACGGCTGTGTCAGGGCATGGTGCGCAGTCTGCACCGACGGGTTCGCAGACGCAGAAGAAACGGGTAACGTCCCGGAAACACTCGTCTTACCGAAACTGGCGTGAGAGTAGAACCTGAAGTGTGTCATCATCCCAAACAAAATTTAAATTAAAACCCTTGTCGCAAAGAAGCGCCCGCACCGCCACGTCCCCGCAGGTGGACTCCACCCGCGCCCCCGAAGGAGCAGTGAGAAGTCACCCCGAGTCCCCTGCCCCCACGCTGAGCGAGGGGGTGGCAGCCCCCACACAGGCGTTCTGCCAAAACTGCCCGGAGCCGGCGAGTGCTGTGTCCGGGACCAAGCGAACCCTCCACGGGGCAGCAGGAGAGAAGGTCATCGTGGGCCAGCCTTGCTCGTGAGTAAACGGAAAAACAAAACTAAGCAAAATGTGCCCCACGGGAATCCAGCCACGTGTCCCCAGGGCAGGTCGTGGCCACACGGTCCGTCCCGGGAATGCGAGGCTGGCTCCGCTCGGGGAAGCCGACCGGGTGATGCAGCGCAGACCAAGGGTGAAACCGGCAGGGCCGCCCGCAGCCTGACCGGGACAGACAACCCCGTTCCGACGAAAACGCTCAGCCAGCTAGAACGGGAGGGACCGTCCTCGATCCCTCGACGGGGGGTCTACGAAACACCGGCAGCAACCTCCCGTCCACCGCGGGGACACCCAGAGCCCCCCGGACATCGGAACCACGACACGCCCTCCCCCCCCAGCACAGACAGTGCTAACACTAACTTTAACCCATTTTTTTAAAGATTTCATTTATTTATTTTTAGAGAGGGAAGGGGGGGAGAGAGAGAGAGAAACATCAATGTACGGTTGCTGGGGGCCGTGGCCTGCAACCCAGGCATGTGCCCTGACTGGGAATCGAACCTGCGGCACTTTGGTTCACAGCCTGCGCTCAATCTACTGAGCTATGCCAGCCGGGGCCCCATTTTTTTTTTTAATTGACGCAACGCAGAGAGCTCCCTGGCTGGGACTGGGCAAGGTGGGGAGTTCCGATGGGCGCACAGGGAGCAAGGCTCCTGTTGGCAGAAGGTTCTGGAAACACAGCCTCCTTCACAGGAGGGGTTTGCGGTTGTCTGAGGAAGCTCTCACCGAAGGCGCCCCGAAGCAACTCCCCGGAGGACCGCGGAGCAAGCCCTCGGCCGGGGCGCGCGGGGGAGGGGCCTGGAGACCGACGACTGGGGCCGCCACGGCCGGGAAAGGGTGGGGGGGTGACCGGGAGGGGCGGGGGTCCAGGGTGCCGCTCCACACCCTGCCGGGCCCCGGATGCCGGCCGTGCGGAGGGGGCACCCCGGTCTGCAGCCAGGCGCGGGGTCCCCTGGCACCGCGGGTCTTGGTGTGCTGGAGAGCAACCTGGCCGTGGAGAACCCCGTCCACGCTGCTCCCCAGGGCCGCTCGCACCCCCGAGCCACGCCCACCCTCCTGGCCACGCCCACCTTCCCAGGCCGTGGGACGGAGAGGACCCGGGTGCTGAGCGCAGGCTCCCGCCTGTCCCTGGACCTCTGGGCACCCCGGTCCCCAGCCGCAGGCGGGCGCGGGTCAGCCCCCGCCGTCCAGAGCCGCCGTGGGCGTGGGGGGCAGCAGGTGCGGAAGCGTGGGCCCCAGGACTTCCCTCCCAAGTGGGTGCGCAAGGACGCGCTCACACCGGCTCACTCAGGAGCCCGTTCTCTGCGCGACCTCGGTGGGGAAGCCCGAGGCAGCCCCGCTCCAGGGAGAAGTGCGGGCCGGGGCGGCGCCGGGGCGGGGCGCGGCGCACGGGCCGCGGCAGTGTCGTGGGTGGAGACGCGCCGCTCGGTCGTCACGCACCGGTCCTTCAGAACGGTCCCCGTGTCTGTCTGCGAGGAGCGAAGGTGTCCTCCGGTTGTTCAGTGCGTGTGTGTTAAACGCAGCGGCGTTCTGTCCGTCTTTGGTTACCATGGAAACCAGCCGGTTGGCATGGCAGGCGGCATCAGGGCCCCGTTAAACATGTTCAATGCACGCGTTTGCCCGTGGTTGCAGGTGAGCGCGACCTGCGGTTTTCCAAACGCCGACTGAAACGGAAGGCGGAGATGCAGGAGTGAGCTATGCATGCAGACTGTAGTGCCTTTTTTTTAAAGAAATCCAATTTTCCTCAGTGACGGTCAGCAGCGGGGGTAGGGGTGGGGGGACACAAGGGGGGACACACCGTTCCCCTCACTGAAGCCTGTTGACCCCGCCCCCGTGAGGGAGGGGTGGCGCGGAGCGGGACTCACAGGAGAGCCCCCACCCACCGTGGTGTCTGGGGAGTGAGCCCACCCGCCTTCACCCACCCTGAGCCAGCTGGGAGCAGCGCCCCGTCTCCCAGGGGTCTCGTCCTGAGGAAGCCCCCCTTGGAGAGAAGCGGCCATGGTCAGCAGGCCCGATCAGGGCAGGGCCTGGCCCCCGCTGACCCAAACCTCGGAGCCCCCCAGGGGTGGCCGGACCGGAGGGCGGCAACTCGTCTGTGCATGACCGGTCGCCTGGGCCGGAGAGTGGAGGTGGGACGCCCCCCACCCCGGGCAGGTCGGTGGGAAGGAGAGCAGGGCCAGCGGGCTGTACTGGGGACAGCCAGCTGGGTGCCCGGGGAGGGGAGGTCAGGGGTGGGGAGCAGGGGAGGGGCTCCCACTCCTGGGCTGGCCCTCGAAGGGAGCAGCTTCTGCCGGGCTGCCTCCTCCAGGGAACGGGGGACCCTCACCCTCAGGCCCCCACACACGGCCGCAGGACGCCCATGTCCGGTGGCCTGTGCTTGGGAGGACGCCCGCCCCGCCCCGCCCCGTCCGTCGACCCCAGAGCCCCAGCTCTCCCTGCAGCTCCCGCCGGGTCCGTCGATCCCAGAGCCCCAGCTCTCCCTGCAGCTCCCGCCAGGCCCAGCCGTCCGCCCCGCCCACCGTCCTGCCTCTTACTTCAGGAGAAGAGAAGGCGACGATTGTGAGCCTGCCCCAGGCCAGCTCTGCATTATTTGTCTCTCACTTGTGAGCCAGGGTGGGACGGGACCCTTGGTGACAAAGATGTGCCCCGGGGGCGTCACCTGGCCAGTCCCGCACAGAGAGCGGCCCCGCCCGGGGCAGGGGCGGGGGTGGGGCACACAGGGCCCTGTGCAGGGGCCGGGCCGGCAGGTGGGAGCTGCCCCCAGGTCATTCGTTGCTGGGGTCGTCAGGCCTGGGCTGGGGGCAGGTGACCATGGGGTGTTGGGCATCAGGCCACTGGCCCGCGGAATCCGGGCCTCGGCCTTCCAGTGAGAACTGTCGCTGTCCTCCCGTCCTCCTCCCGTCCTCCTGAGCCCGTCTGCCGTTGCCCCTGAAGAGCAGCCAAGCGCCCCTGGGTGGGCGGGCTCTGGCACTCCATCTGCACATCTGCACGGGCGGCCGTCCGCACGGAGGCTGGGCCGGGAAAGCAGCCCGGAGAGCGCCACCCGGCCCACGTAGTTCCCCAGCCGAGTAATTCCCACCCCCCCGGTCACCCCCCACCTCGGCGACCAGCAGACCGAGTCCCTCTCCGGGCAGAACTGGCTGCGGCTCCGTGGGGAGAGGGGCTGAGGGGGGAACACTTCGTGAACGGCGGCCGATTGAGAAGCAGACCAGGGTGAGGGCTTCGCCAGGGAGTGTCCGGCCTCCGCGCCGTGGGCGCCTGGGAGACACGCCACCCCCTGTGTCCCAGCTCCTGTGTGTCCCTGAACCGGGGACACGTGTGCGTCTGTGTGTGCATGGACACGGGCACACACACACGTCACAAGCACCCGTGTAATGCTCAGTAACAGTAACGCAGAGGGCACATGGTCACTGCTGCCCACCACGCAGCTGCCGTCCCGTCAGACACACGGCAGAGGAGCGATCGGGGACCTCGGCGGTGTCACCTGTTAGTTCGGAGACACTCCTGAGAGCAGCCGGGAGCCGTGCTCACCGACAGTGCGAGTCTGCACCAGCCCTTGCACGCCCAGGGTGGCCCGGGTCACCGCGTGTCCAGGACACGCTCCCCACCCAGGTCCCCCCTCCCGGTCACCCTCGACCTTCTCCCCAGAGAACCGGGCAAGTCTTCCCGGCCGATGCCAGCGCCCGTCTGCCGTCGGCTTTCGCCAGATTTTGTTACAACATTTGTCTCGCAGCTTTAAAATAGCAGCAAATGCGGGCGGTTTATTTAAACAACACCAGGGGAACTGGCGCCCCGCAAACTCTTCCCAGCAAGCGAAGGTAAAGCAGGGGTTTTGTTTCCTTACTGGCTCTGTGAAGGCCCTTTAAGGTTCTGAGTCTCCAGCTCACAGGGACCCCGGGAGCTGCTGCTGGCACCCGGGTGTCCACAACGGTCAGGCGGCCTGGGCTCCTGCTCTGTCACACGGCGGGGACGTGGCGACCCACAGACAGCCAGCACCACGGCCCCCGGAGGCCAGGCCTGCAGCCGGAGCTCCCGCCTCGTCCCGCGCGTGGTCTGTGGGGCGGGATCCGTCCGGCCAGGCTCGAGAACAAACACACCAGCGCCCGTCCCCGGGGCAGGTTCTGGGGGACAGCTGAACCTCGTTACCTGTGGGCAGAGGAGCCTCGGGTGAGGCTGGGAGTTTGGGGAGCACACCGGTCACCCGGAGGGCCCCCTAAACACAGACCCCGCCCCCCCCCGGCAGTGCATCGCGGGTGGGACCTGAGACCGAGCGTCTCAGCGAGCTCCCCGGAAGCTGGCGTGCTGGGGACGCCCCGAAAAGCGAAGATGCCGACGCCCCTGCACTGGCGCTGGGGAGGATCCGGGCGGAGACCGGGGGCGGCCCTCCGGGCCCACAAGGCACCGGCCACCCCGCGGGCGTGGGAAGCAGCCGGGGGAGACCGCGTGGCCAGGACTGTCCTACACGCAGCCCTGCCGGGCTCATCCGGACACGGTGCCGTCAGGACGGGGGACTAGTCACGAGGCGGCATCTGTCACCGACCGGGGCAGGGGCTGGCACAGTGTGCACCCCACGGGCCACAGGGGAAGGGGCGCGCTGGCCTGGGAAAGCCTTCAGTGCGTAATGGTGCTGCCAGCGTGCGAGCGCAAGCCTAGCACGGTGAGACGGGGCCGGCGGGGAAGCCCCAGCGCGGGTCTGTCCCGGGGCTGCCTCCACCGAGCCCCAGGCGCCTCCCACCATCGCCCCCCGAGGACTGGCCCAGGGCCCGCTGCTCGGGGCTGAGGGTCTGGCGTGGCTGATCCTGCCGGTTCGGTCGGCGAGAAGGGCCCATCCTTCAAGTGCGTTGTCTGATTCCTGGGAGACACGAGCGTTCTCAGAAGTTTATCAGTCCTTTCTGTTCACTTCGCTGTTGCGTGTCTATTCACGTCTTTTTTTCCGGTTGTAAAAAAGATCCAAGTTTTTGTCGATTTGTAAGAACTTTTTTTTAAAGGTTTTATTTATTTATTTTTAGAGAGGGGAGGGAGGGGGAGAGAGAGAGAGAGAGAAACATCCATGTGCGGTTGCTGGGGGCCGTGGCCTGCAACCCAGGCATGTGCCCTGACTGGGAATCGAACCTGCGACACTTTGGTTCACAGCCCGCGCTCCAGCCACTGAGCTACGCCAGCCAGGGCAGAACTCTTCACATAGTGAGGCTGTGGACCCTCGGTCAGGTTCATCCGGAACCAAGGGTTCCGTGTTCCTCGCTTGCTTTTAGGATGTGTTTCACAAACAAGGTTCTGAGTTAAAATGTATTCGTCCTCTGCTGCGTGGCTTTTCCCGTCTGGGAGGATTTAAAAGCTCGGATCCCATCCGTTGGTGAAACAGTTCACTACGTTTTCTTCCTGTTTGTGGTTTCCTCCCCCACGTGGCTCTGGGACCTCCTTCTGTGTGTAGCTGGGGTCCCCCCCCTGGTGTCCCCCCTGACCCCCGGCCCCTCGCTCCGACGCCGTCCGGTCTTCCTCTGCCCATCTCCGACGGCTTCTCTGCGCCGACGCCTCTTCCTCCACGCAGACCCTGACCGACTCCTCCGTCTCTCTTCTCCCCCGCCCTGCAGACGCCGCCGAAAGGCAGGAAGCCTCCAGCCCTGGACCCGGCGCAGCCCCCGGGCGACACGCTGCGCCCGTGGCCGCCGCACCCGCGCGCCAGCGGGCTGCGGAGACAGAAGCGGGACTGGGTCATCCCACCCATCAACGTGCCGGAGAACTCGCGCGGGCCCTTCCCGCAGCAGCTGGTGCGGGTAAGCGCGGGCCCCTCGTGCGTGGGTGCGTGGGTGCGTGGGGGGTCTCGGCGCCCCAGCCCCCCCACTCCGCTCCACAGACCTTGCCAATCGGGTCTGACGGGCTTGCTCCCCCCAGGAGACCCCCTCACCTACTGGCAGGCGGCCGGCTCTCTGCTCCCCCCTGAGCACCCGGGCCTGCACTGCCCCCCCACCCCGGGCTTCTCCACGCGCAGACGGACCCGGGGCTTTGGGAACCCACGGGCAGCTCACGCAGGTGCATCGGACCTGACGTGGGCAAGATCCAGAGTGCGGATAGAATCCAGCTTTCAAAAGAGGGCGTCTGTTGTCGCCGAGTCCCCTAAAAGTTCAGAATGTGTCAACTCCAGAGGTTGTCCGGGGCAACTGTGGGAACTGGCCCCAGACTCGGGGCGGAGGCAGGGCGGCTGGGGGACAAGCCCGTTCCCATCGGGAGTGGAGGTTGTCACAGGCGAGAGGTTGGGGCAGCCACCGCCGGGGCCTGCGGAGAGCCAGGCCGGGAGGAGGGGAGCTCTGGCGGTGAGGCTGGGAGGCAGTCCCCACACGGCCACTCGGTGTGGCAGCGGCCACTTGGAGCAGACGCGCGGGGAGCTCGCGGGGGTGCAGACCGGGGAGGGGGCTCGAGAGGACCGTTCAAGGCAGGTTCTCGCCCCGCACGACACGGACGGGCTCAGACTGACGGACACGGAGGGTTCCCCGCCCCCCCGTCACGCCGCCTCCCCTCCGATCGCAAAAGTTCGCTGACCTCCCAGCCCGGACGCAGCCGGGCCGGGCCTGTGGGACGAGGGCCGGGGCTGGTGTAGCTCCTGGGGCGACGCCCCGTGTCCTGGGCTGGGGCCCGCAAGGCGAGACGCGTGCCAGGGAGGCGGCGAGCCACCCTCCGCTGGCCCGGGGCGCCTGTCCGCGGACGGATGTCGGTCAGGAGTCTGCCCGCGGGAGATGGGGCTTGCCGGGGGCCACGGGGTCGTCCTGGGGGCCTGCGCCCCGGAGTCGGAGGCGCCCAGCCAGCCGTGGATGGCGGACGGTCGTCCCTCGCGGCCGCGGGAAGCCAGGCGACCTGTCAGAGCCCACTGTCTGTGCGTGGTTCCCCTCCATTTCCTCTGCGTCGTCCCCGGGAGAAAAACCTCGTCCTCCGGCCTGTCACACGGCCCCACGATGTGACGACTCGGCCCCCCCCCCAAACACCGGCCACAGGCAGCTCCTGCGGCTTCCGGGCCTCCCCGCCCCCCTGCGCCGGGGCAGACTCTGGGACCACCGGGAAACCCCCCTGCCCTCCCCCCGGCGGCTGGTTAATTCCTGGGGCGAGCGGTGAAGACGTGAAGGGGGTCTCTCTCCCCCCCGAGGCAGCTGCTGGGGTGCCCGCCGCCGGGGACACGCGTGTGCTCAGCGTGTCTCTGCACCGGCGCCCCTTGAGGCCGTGAGGTGGGCGGAGGGGCACTCGGCCCGGAGGACAGCAGGGTGGAGGGCCCTCTCCCCCAGGGCCCCCGGCGTGGGGTGTGGAGAGGAGGTGGGCTCCCGGAACCGGATGAGGCTTCTGGGAGCGGAAGGTCTCTGTTACCTACCGAGAAGCCCTCCGACCCCGGGGTCGCTTGGAAACCGCCACAGGAGATGACTTGGAAACCCTCGCGTTTGTTTCTGACACAGGAGCCTGAAGGGCCGCAGAAATGCCCCCACCGCCCCGCTGGGGAGGGGCCTGGGAGGTGCCTGGGGGCCGGGGGGGGGGTCTGGCGCCACCGGCCAGGTTGAGGGGCAGCCTGTGCAGAGGCGCCGCCGGCCGTGGGGAGCGGAGTCAGGGAGACAGAGCCACGGGAGGAGGAGCGAGGCAGCCAGGCCCCCGGTCTCTCTCCGTGTCCCGGAGCCGCAGGCAGGGCCGGGCTCGCCCTGCGCAGCGGTGTCTGCGCCGGGTTCACACAGTCGGGGCGGCGGGCCTCGCTCTGGGACGCCCACCCCGGGGACCCCGGGGACCCCGGGGACCCCGGGTATGGAAGGTGTGAGCTGGAGACTATTGGAGCCCAGCTTGCCGGCTCCGGAAAGCTCCCCCCCCCGCTGTTAGCACCTTCCTCCCGGCCGGGGGGCCACGGTCCCTCACCCCCGGTGAGGCTGGCCTCTGGGAGGCCCGGCGGCCATGGGCCACGCCGTGATGACCAGGCAGCCCTGGGGGAAGGAAACAGACGTGGGAGGGCAGACTCGCTGAGGAATTTCGACTCTTCAGGCTCCCAGGACCTCGTGGGACACACCGACTGGGAGGTGTCTCGGGTCAAAGGGCGACAGAGACTTTTGTGTGCACGTGGCTCTTGGTCAGCCCTGAGATGTCTCGCGAGGCTCAGCGCAGCCGCAGGACGCGCTGCCATTGATGCCGTCCGCTGCTGCGGTAAAGGACCGCCACCCGGCGGGGGCTCTGGGGCCTGGCCCGATGCAGGCGCTCCAGACCCGTGCTGGGTGGGCCGAGCCGGGCCGGCGCCACCCCCGGTGAGCCCACCACAGACACGGTGATCCAGGCCCCAATGCGTGTCCAGCGTGCAGGTGGCCGGCCGGCCAGCAGGCCCCGGTCCACCCGGAAGTGCACTGCAGGCAGGCGGGTGCGGGGAGAGGGGCCCCCGCCCTGGTCTGGTCACTCCGAGACCCTGTAGCCGAACCTTGTGTCCAACGTCGGTTGCGGGCGGCAGTGGGTTGGAAAGCACGCCCGGGCCAGGTGACAGGTGGCGGGCCACAGCTGCGAGGGCTCTCACCCCCCACCCCCGGTCTGGGGGCAAGACGCTGCATCCACAGCGTGGTCTGCGCTTCCAGAGCCGGACCGTGAGCGGGAAGCTCAGGGATGCATGTTTCCTTGGGCCCCTTTGCGGTGATACATCGTTTCCTTGGGCTGGTTTCTGACCATACATTGTTTCCTTGGGCCCGAGTGTGTTTGCGGTGGAAAGGTGCAGAAGGGCGGAGCTGGGGATCGCGCAAAGACACACTGTGGCGGCCGCAGCGCCCTGCTGCGGGGCAGAGCCTCCGCGTGGACAGCGTGTTGAGACTGTGGGTGCGTGAAGGGACCGACTCTCCATCTTCATGATGTGGACGGGTTTCCTGCCGGCCCAGCTCTGCGCTCCCCAGATCGCGCCACGTCTGGGAACGTTTCAGGGAGTGTCTGCGGAACCCCGCGCGGCACCGCGGAGCGGCTGCCCCGTTACCGCTGCCCCCCCCAAGGCTGGTGCCCCCCACGGCCCTGCTCACCGTCAGCCCCTCCTCAGGGGTCTCGCTGGCCCTGGGGGCCATCCCCGCTCCCCCTTCCCGCTGCCCACCTTTGGTCGGATGCAGCGTGTACTGTCACGTCCCTGGTGCCGCTCTTTAAATCGGCTCTCCTTTATCTGCGCGAGTTTATTTTAGAGGACACTTTGCGTAACCACTGCTCAATGGCACACCGCCCTCTCTGGGCCTACAGAGACGAGAACCCCCCAAACGGCAGCAAAAGATGACATTCCCGTTCCGAGTGGATGTGTGCCCATCCATCACCGAAAGCCACCTCGGGCCGGCAGGGGACCTGGGGAGTGAGTGTCAGTGGCGGTGCCCTGGCGCGCGGTCCCGGGGGCGGGGCGCCCTTCACTCGGCAATAAAACACGGACGGAGCCACCTCTCCCCCCGCGCCGAGGGCGTCCTTCCGTCCCTGCTCAGAGGGTTTGCAGAAACGACGCCGGCTGCTGGCTCGCCTCGGAAATCAAATTACCCCGCAGTCCTAAATGCTGTGGCGCGTGGCGCGTGAGCCCCCAGGGTAGACAAACTCACACCGCGGAGGGGGAACCCCCGTGCGGAGGGACCGGGCACAGGCCACACCCCCTTGAAGAGGCCCTGGGGGCGCCGCCGCCCGGGGACCAATCGGCAGGCGGGGGGCGGAGTCCGGCGTGGAGACGGGCAGGCGCCCAGTTGGAGGGGCCTGCGGCACCGAGGCCAGCACGAGGAGGGGGTGCTATAAAGCCCAGGGAGGGGGCGCGGGAAGGAGGCGTCCCCACCCCGGGCGGGCCGCTGGGGGCCACTCGGACACAGGCAGAGCCCCGGCCACGTGCAGTCGGCACAGCCCGTGGGCGCTGAGCCAGGACAGGGAGGTGCCCGAGAGGGCGGGCTCTGGGGGGCTGACCCCCACCCCCCACGGCCCGCGAGCAGGGCGGCGGGCTGCGTTCTCCGTCTCCGCGCGCCCCAGTGCGTCCGCGCCTTCCCGCGCGGGTGAGAATCGGGGCGTAAATAGGTGCGTTGGGTCCCCACTTTCCCCCTCAACACCACGTAGAGGCTGCTGTCCTCTTGCCCGTGCGTGTGCTCAGGTTTGGTGAGCCTGGGGACCTCGCGTCGGGGCCTGGGCCGTCCTGTGTCCCCCCCCGTGTGTCCCCCGCTCCCCGCAGGGCATTTCGCGTGGAGTGGGTGTCCCCGTGGGGGGGGCACTGAGCAAGCCCCTGGTGACGGGCAGCGCGGTGGAAGCGCCAGCGGAGGCCGCAGCCGCGCGGGAAGGCAGGAAGGGCAGGTGCGTGGGCGGGGACGTGCAGCCCCCCCCCCCAGCCGCCGCTGGCTGACTTGCTCCCCCTCCCCCCCCAGATCCGGTCGGACAAGGACAACGACATCCCCATCCGCTACAGCGTCACGGGCGTGGGCGCCGACCAGCCGCCCATGGAGGTGTTCAGCATCGACTCCATGTCCGGCCGCATGTACGTCACGCGGCCCATGGACCGCGAGGAGCGGGCCTCCTACCACGTGAGTGCCTCCGCCCGGCCCCGCCCGCCCTGCGGGAGGCCGCGCCCAGGGCCCTGGCTGGGGGTCGGGGTGGACCGAGAGCTCGCGCCTGTGTCTCCCCCCTGGGGTGGAAGTGCAGGTGAGGGGCTTCCTTAGAGGACCAGCCCCCCTTTCCTCCGGGGCCGGCAGACGCAGCCGTGGGGGCCAAGGGGAGGGGACCTGGGGCACCGTGAAAGCCAAGGCCTCTCGCCCTCGCGCTCCAGTGACGCCCACCCTGCGGGCCAGCGCCCCCCAGGCTCTGCTCCAAGCCCACAGGACAAGGGTGGGCACGGGCTGCGGCCCGAGGCAGGGCCCGGGAGACCTGGGCTCCCGACCCTCTGGCCCTGTTCTCCCCTCCCCCACCAGCCCAGGCCCTTCTGGGTTCCCGGGTCCCAGGTCTGCAGGGACAGGGACGCTCAGCCCCTGGTGGGGCCGTGACACCCACTGAACGAGTGAGGAGAGAGGAAGGGGGAGGGGAGAGAAAGCGCCCCCCACCCCAGCATCAGCGAGGCCAGGTCTCTGCACAGTGCTCCCCCGCCCCCACCCTGCAGCGTCCCCCCAAACCACCGTGTCTGGGCAGGTGCCGCCAGGCCGTCTCCGTCCCTGAGTGGCCAAAGGCCCCCACAGTCGCACCGGCATCCGAGCTCCCGGCCCCACTCGGCCCCCGCAGGAGGCCGCTTGCCCACCGAGGGCACCTTGCTCGAGATTAGACTGACTCGTTCCTGTTGTCGGGGCTGCAGAGAAAGCTCCCTCCTCCTCCTCCTCCTCCTCTTCCTCCTCCTCCTCTCCCCGGGGGGCCGCCCCCAACCTGCTGGGCCTGACCGAGGTCGGGCTCTGCGTTCCGGCTGGAGGGCTGAGGCCTTGGGAGCGGTGGCCTGACCAGTGCTCCGCCCACCGCGAGCTGCACGGCGGCGCACAGAGCCCACCAGCGGCCTCCAACCAGCCCGGCGGCGCGAGCCGGCCCTCTGGGCAGGCCGCAGGCCCCCAGAGCGGGCCATGTGCTCCCAGCACATGGGCACTGCGCGGCTCCAGGTCCGGTCCAGCCCACCCCGAGTCTGCCTGCAGATTCGTGCAGACCGGCCTGGGGAGAGGGCGGGAGGAGATGCGGAGGCAGGAGAGAGACGGAGACACAGAGGCCGAGGTGGGCACACAGGCAGGGGGGGGGGCCGGGGGGAGACAGGACCTGCAGACGGCAGAGGGAGTGGGTCTCCCGGGATCTGCCCGAGGAGCCCCCGGCCAGCCCTCCTGGCCCTCAGGAGGGGTCCCAGCACCCATGTTCCCATCTAAGATTCTCCCATCACGGCAAAGCCGGAGCCGTTAGCTTGCTGGTCTGGGCAGCGCCAGAGCACATGGCCATGGGCCTCCCCGGTGCCAGTCAGGCAGGCACCCGGGCCGTGCGGAAGCACCTCGGGTCTGCCGCCGCTCCAGCCTGTTTGGGGAGGGCCCGCCCCGCCCCGCCCCGCCCCGCCCCGCCCCGCCCCGCCCCGGCCCAACGCCTGCTGCTGCAAGGCAGCTCCCGAGAGAACCCAGGCCCAGGGGAAAGGCCTCTTTCCTGTTACTTTAATTACTTCCTGGAAACCGTGAGCCCAAAACTCACTTTTGGAGTTTCCGGTTAACTTCCTCCTCAGGCGCTTGGCTTCCCAAGGACTCCCTGGAAAGGGTCCTTGGGCCCAGGCCATCGGCTGGTTGCCCCTTCGTCAGGGCTCAACTCCAACATCGCCTCCTCCAGGAAGCCTGCCTGGCCTCCTCCCAATTTCAGAGAGTGGCCGCCCTGCACCCACGTCACAGCTGGCTTCTCCTCTCTGGTGCCCACCTCCCTCTGGAGGAGGGGCCCAGGCCAGGCCCCGCTGCCTCACGGGGTGATGGTCACAGATGGGCCCTGGGGGGGTACTGATGCAGTGAACAGTAATTCGGAGGGGGGGGCGCGGGGGGGGGGCCGGGGATTAATTGATTAATACAAAAGCCCAAAATCAAGGGGTAGCAGCCCATCCGGACCCCTCCAGCCCGAGTTCAGGGGGCGCCCTCCCTTTGTGCCCTGACGGTGGTCCCAGTGAGTTGCCGGGCCCCTTCCCCACAAAGCGGGAGGCTGCCATCTGCTTCCTCGTGGTGCCCCAAGAACAGAGAAGCCTGGGCGTGGAAGAACGACAGGGTGGACTCATGGCAGACCCCCGAGCCAACCTGAGCCCCGTCCAAGTTCAAGACCCCAGGGTCTGGGTCTGCCCCAGGCCTGACCGCTCAGGAGCGGGACTGAAGCCCGGACTGGCCCCGGCAGCTTTTCTGCGGCCGCCGCAGGTGGACGGGCACTCGGTCGTCAGGGCTGCAGGGACTGGTCCCCGAGCAGGCCTGGGGGTCCCCGTGGCACCGGCCCCGGGGCCTCCGGTCGGCCCACTGTTCCTGCAGGTCCCAACCCCCGCCCCGTTCCCGCAGAGGGGAGGACTGAGGCCCAGAGACGCTTCCTGACGGGTCCCCAGCCCCTGCGTGCCCACCCAGCCCGTCCCCTGGGGGTCAGAGCTGCCACACCCCGCCCCCGAGGCGGCGGGCCAGGAGCGTCCCCGGAGGGGGTGGCGCCGGCCCTGACTGTCCCCGTGGCTTGCAGCTGCGGGCGCACGCGGTGGACATGAACGGCAACAAGGTGGAGAACCCCATCGACCTGTACATCTACGTCATCGACATGAATGACAACCGGCCGGAGTTCCTCAACCAGGTGTACAACGGCTCCGTGGACGAGGGCTCCAAGCCGGGTGAGCCCGGGCCCCGGGGTCTGGGAGGGCCCCGGCCCCGCCCGGTGATGAGCCCACCTGTTGGGGGTCCACTGGGTGCCCCCCCACATGCAGGCGCTGCGCTGGGGAGCGGGGCCTCCGCGGCCCCGACAGGGACACAGAGGGAAGACGGGCTGGGCCTAGGGCATGGCCTGTCTCAGTGCGGCTCGGACGGGAGCCCTGTAGGTTGGGGACCCCCGCACCCCGACACGGAGGTGACACGCAGGCCGAGAGCAGAACTGTGGGAGGATCGGGGCTCAGAGGAGGGCTGGGGCCAAGGAAGGGGAGGCCCCCCCTCTCCCCTTCGGCAGAGACGGGACTCAGGGCCCAAGCAGGAAAGTGAGCGGCCCGGGGCCCCGCGGTGCAGGTGGGGGTCGGCATCCCCCGCCGATGCCGGAACCTCCGCCCCTGGGCCAGGTGCACCCCCTGCGGGCAGGAGGCCCCCACAGAGCCCCGCCGCCCGGACCCGCGGGTGCGGACGCTCTGCAGGTGGGGCCCTGCCCAGCCAGACAGGCCGCCCCGGGGACCTCCGTGGGCGCCCAAGTTTGAGAAGCACAGCCCCACGCTGCTGTCCCCTGAGGGGGAGGGGTGGGCTGTCCTGGGGACAAACGTCCGGCTTGGGCTGGACGTGGGGGCCAGGCCACGTGTCAGGGTCGTGGGGCCCCTGGAAGCAGCCGGTGACACACAGGACGCCGGCTGTCGTTGGGGGGTCCGCAGAACCACGAGCGTCCGGCACACACAGGCGGACCCCCCGCCCCACGTGGGGCGTAACCACAGTGAAACCGAGTTCCCTGCGGGGGGTGCTTTGCTGTCCAGGGAGCGCCGGTCGCAGGGGGCCTCTTGGCTCCGGCCTGCGGGGACAGGCCCACCGAGGTGGGGCCTGGCTGCGAGAGGGGCTCAGGCCGGCCCCCCCGACCGCCTGTGCTCCCGTGGGCGGTCAGCGCGTCCCCGTCTGGGGCAGCAAGGACAAACAGGTATCGTCACTCCAGCGCCAGCGGCAGCTGTCACAGCTCTGTCTCCGAGGCGGCTGCTTCAACAAGACGGACTGCGTTTTTGATCGATCGTCTCAGCATCGCGAGCCGAGGGCCGGCCCCGCGCCGGCGAAGGGGCAGGGATGTGACATTATTTCTGCCAGAGCCTTGGACGGCCGGTCCCCACAGCCCCTCAGGGGCAAGGACAGGTGGCGGGCGGGCAGATGGTCGGCGGGCAGGCACCGAAAACAAATGAGACGGGCTGGTGGCTGCCCCCTGGGCTTGGGGCGGGGGCCTCCCTCCTCGAGACCCCGGGGGCTCCATGAAGGCGTCCGGATTTCCTGCCGGAATCAAACCTCCACGCCGATATTTTAGAACAAGTTGCCAGAGAAGGCTGACCCCGCCGTGTCTCTGGCTTTACGTACTGGACGGGCAAAGGCAGCAAACCGCCGTGTCTGCCCCTGGACACCCGGAGAAGCCGGAGGCCTGGGGAGGGGGGGTCCCCGTCGGCCCACCCCACAGCACCCTTCCCCCCAGGGCGGCCAAGGTCTTGCTGGGCAGGGGCGGCATCCCTCCCGGGATGGGCCCTCTCTTCCCACACACTCCCGTGCCCTTCCGGACTGTGCTGGGCCCCAGTGGGACTGACATTCAGAGCCCACGCGGGACCCCAGAGCCTGTCTCGGGTCCCAGAACCACCCTATGAGGGGAGTGTGGCGCCCCTCTTTGTACCGCACGGCCTGGGACCCAGCTCAAGGTCCTTGCCCACTCTGGTCTGGGCGAGAGGGGGGGGACACCAGACAGAGCACACCTGGCCGTCTGGGGGCAGGAGACCCCAGGGACTGGACACAGTGTCCGCATCCCTTCCCTCTCGAGGTAAATGACGGAGGCGGGCCGGCCCAGACCTCCCGGGCGCGCGGGGGGGGGGGGGGGAGCGGCAGAACCGGCAGAGGGGCCACGCCCTCTCGGGGCGGGGACTCGGCGCTGGGGTGTGGGCTGCAGGTCAGGCCGGCTCCTCCCCCTCAGGTCCTCGGCGCCCGCCGCCCGGAGCCGGTCCCGCACTGGCAGGTTGCCGGGGTGGACCCCGAGCCCCCGGGGGACCGGCGCTGAGACCCAGAGCCACCTCGCCCAGGGCCGGGTGTCCCTCCGCCCTCCGCCCTCCGCCCCCACGGGCCGCCTGTTCGCCGCAGCGCGGCGCCCGCCCGCCCCCCGGGGTGCCGCCCATCTTGAAAGCCCCCCCGCCACCCCCGGGCTCCTTCCAACGTGCTCTGTCCTGGAGAAGCGCAGAGACGGGTCGGAAAGGCGGCCTCTGCGCCCCTGACCCGAAACCCGGGGCGCCAGGGCCCTCTCCGCCGTCGGCCCTCCTGGGTGCCGGCGGCAGGGAGAGGGGGCAGAGGGGGGCAGAGAGGGCGGTGCGCGGCCGGGGGCTTCCCCGGAACGAGCTCACGCTGTGCGTGCGAGCGCGCCTCTCTCCGGGAAGGAGAGCCCCTCACCCACCCAAGGAACCCGGGAGTCCGTGTGCCAATGCACGCGTATGTATAGAAACGCAGCCCCTTTGTGTTTTTTTTAAAGGGATTTTATTTATTTGTTTTCAGAGAGAGGGGGAGGGAGGCAGACAGGGAGGGAGAGAAACGTCGGTTGCTTCTCACACGCCCCCTGCTGGGGACCTGGCCCGCAACCCAGGCTCGTGCCCTGACTGGGGATTGATTGAACCGGCGACCTTTCGGTCCGCAGACCCGCGCTCAGTCCACCGAGCCACACCGGCCGGGGCGGGAGGCGGCCCCTTTGGAACGGAGCTGGAGCTGCCGCCCCAGGCGAGCCACCTCGTACATCTCAGGCCTCAAACCTCCGGATGTGAAAACGACAGATGTGTGTGTGTGTGTGTGTGTGTGTGCACGCGCATGTGTACACATACACATACACCGTGGCTGGCGTGGCTCAGTGGACCGAGCGCTGGCCTGCGAACCGAGAGATCGCCGGTTCGATTCCCCGTCAGGGCACATGCCTGGGTTGCAGGGCTGGGTCCCCAGTAGGGGGCGCGCGAGAGGCAACCGATCTATGTGTCTCTCCCACATGGACGTTTCTCTCCGTCTCCCTCCCTCCCGTTCCCTCTCCTTCGGAGGGAAAAAAAACAAAAACGGCAAAGTAACCTTGGGGCCGAGCCGAGGGCAACACGGCATCCCAGACAGCTGTTCGCAAAGAGGACAGGAAGCGCACACTGTCGCCACCAGCCTGGAAGTTACAAGCGCGGTTTAGGGTCCGCGTCACTGTTGCCTTTTCTGCCCCCACGGGGGCGCCTTCCGGTCAGGGGCCGAGTCGTGCCCTCCCCCTCCTCGCGAACACCCCTCCTCTTCCTCCGTCTCCTCCTCGGGACTCCGCGGGCCTCCGCCTGGACCAGCGGCTCCCGAGCAGCCGTTCTTCCTGCTCTGGACGCGCGTGTGCTCCGCTCACGCGGAAGGCCGTCCGGTCTCCAGGAGACTGCGGCCTGGCGCACAGCTGGGCAGGGGCGGCGACGCCAGGGTCCCGGGAAGGGACTGTCTCCCGGGCCCTCGGCCTCCCGCCGTCCTCCCCGCGTCTCTGCGCCACCGGCCCCTCCTCCTCCCTCCGCTCCCTGCCACCGTCCCCAGCGGGGCCGGAGCCCTGGAAGTTGTCCGTTAATGCTCCGCCCGGTTGCTGGCTCTCAGCCACGGTGTCGCCCGTTCGTGCCCCCCGGGCCAGGCAGGGATCGGTGCTCCTCGCCGCTGCGTACTCAGCGGGGCAGACACTCAGCCACTCAGCGAAGGCCCGGCCCCCGCCCGGTGCCACGGGAGCCCTGGAGCGTCAGGGACACCTGGGAACGCGAAGTGCGCGCTCCTGAGAGGTACCCGGTGCACCGCGCACCGGGCGCTGCTCGGCGAGCCGCTGGGCGGGGCCTCCGGGCGGGTCCGCCCCTGCGCGGAGGGAGACAGACCGCAGCGTCCTGCGGCAAGGTGGGCGTTGGTTCTGCCGACCTCCCCGCCCCCACCCCCCGAGTCACACCTCTCCTGCCACACTGCCCAGCAGCCCGCTGTCCCAGGGCTCAGGGCTGGGCCTCCCAAGCGGACCAGCCCTGCGTCCTGCACCAGCCACGGCCCAAACCTCCTCCAGCTGGGAATCCGAGCGGCTGCCTCCCCGCCCCCACCCGGCCCTGGCCGGTCCCGAGGACAGACACCCCCGCACTTGTTCTCAGGAAGCCTCGAAGAGGAATTCCTGCCTCCCTTCGCCCGTGTGACGGTGTGAGAGCCGGTGTGATACATTTTGAAATTAACGCCCCCGCGAAACGTTAAATAGCAGAGAAACCTGGGAGCGGGGGACGAAGTCACAGAAATCTTCACCTGCAGAACGCGGGCCCGCGTTTAGACAGATCGTTCCGGCAGCGGGCCCGTCTCTGTTTTATTTCTGCGCGGGCAGAGGACCCCCGAGGTGAGCGCCGCCGACCGACGCACAGATGGCGCAGGTACTTGAAAGTCATCTGAATATTAAGAATTTAAATCTTTAGCCTCAGTGGTTTGAGCAGAAAGCCAATTATGGGGCTGAATTAGTTTTCAAATTAAACCGCAATTTAAGGCTGGTGAAATTAATCCTTTAAGGCACCCTGCGGTGCGCGCACCTGACCTCCCCGGAGGGCCCACCCGGCCTTCCTCCCCGTCCTGTCAGCCCGATTAATAAAGCGATGTCCGGCAGCGGCGTCCCTCCGCAGGTGAGAAGACAGTCCCGCCGTTCTGTCTCATTGGCCAAGAAAAATTCAAGCTGCCTCTCTCCTGCGCAGAGGGCTCGGACGGCAGCAGCCTCCTGCTTCTGCAGCCCAGGTGATGGGGGCCGTGCCCCGCGTGGGCCCGCTTGCTGCAGTGTGGGCGCGCTTGATACAGTGAGGGCGCGCTGGATACAGTGTGGGCGCACTTGATACAGTGTGAGCGCGCTGGATACAGTGAGGGCGCGCTGGATACAGTGAGGGCGCGCTGGATACAGTGTGAGCGCGCTGGATACAGTGTGAGCACACTTGATACAGTGTGACCCCGCTTGATACAGTGTGGGCGCGCTTGATACAGTGTGGGCGCGCTTGATACAGTGTGACCCCGCTTGATACAGTGAGGGTGCGCTGGATACAGTGTGGGCGTGATTGATACAGTGTGAGTGCGCTTGATACAGTGAGGGCGCGCTTGATACAGTGTGGGCGCGCTTGATACAGTGTGACCCCGCTTGATACAGTGTGGGCGCGCTTGATACAGTGTGACCCCGCTTGATACAGTGAGGGTGCGCTGGATACAGTGTGGGCGTAATTGATACAGTGTGAGTGCGCTTGATACAGTGAGGGCGCGCTTGATACAGTGAGGGCACGCTGGATACAGTGTGGGCGCACTTGATACAGTGTGACCCCGCTGGATACAGTGAGGGTGCGCTGGATACAGTGTGGGCGTGATTGATACAGTGTGAGTGCGCTTGATACAGTGAGGGCGCGCTGGATACAGTGTGAGCGCGCTGGATACAGTGAGGGCGCGCTGGATACAGTGTGAGCGCGCTGGATACAGTGTGAGCGCGCTGGATACAGTGAGGGCGCGCTTGATACAGTGTGAGTGCGCTTGATACAGTTAGGGAGCGCTTGATACAGTGTGAGTGCGCTTGATACAGTGAGGGCGCGCTGGATACAGTGTGGGTGCGCTTGATACAGTGTGGGCGCGCTTGATACAGTGTGAGTGCGCTTGATACAGTGTGGGCGCGCTGGATACAGTGTGACCCCGCTGGATACAGTGTGACCCCGCTGGATACAGTGAGGGCGCGCTGGATACAGTGTGGGCGCGCTGGATACAGTGTGAGCACACTTGATAGTGTGACTGCGCTTGCAGTATGACTGAACTGGATTATCAAGAGTATGTCATCTGGTTTTAAAAATCAAATTCCTGCCTTGGTTGGTGTGGATTGAGCCCCCGCCTGCAAACCAAAGGGTCGCGGGTTCAATTCCCAATCTGCGCATGCCTGGATTGCAGACCAGGCCCCCAGTAGGGGGCGCTCAATGGGCAACCACATATTGATGTCTCTCCCTTCCTCCGTCTCTGTCTAAAAATACATAAATACAATCTTTTTAAAAATGATAAGATTTCTGAGCTCAGCCAAGAAGGTGGATGCCCAGAGCTAACACGATTTTGTGATGAGCCAGAAACGACGGGCAGGTCTGTCGCCAGCCCGTCGGTCTGCGCCCTCTGCCCCAGGCAGGGGCCGCAGGCGGCGGGGCGGGGCGGGGCGGGGCGCAGACCCCCCCTCCCGCAGCGCGGAGGGCGGAGCCTCGCACCAGCCGTCCTGGGGGCGGAGCCAGCGGGGGAGGCGGGCGCAGACTGAGCCGCGGGCACCCGCACACACTCTGTCCGCAGAACCCTCTCTCGGGGGCCAGGAGATCTGACTTGAGCCCGGGATTCTGGAGGTTCGGGAGAGCTGCCCCCGGAAACGCCGGTTTCCTGGTTTGCCAATCGGGGGGCCGTGCGGGACACAGGGGTTTCTTGTCAAGCCGCTCGTGACCCAGCTGAGCTGAGGTTTCCACGTGCTTAGAACCCCTCCCCCTCCACCACCCCCCTCCCCCCTCCCCGCGCTCCCCCCACGGGCCGGCGGAGGCAGAGGGAGGCAGAGAGCGAGCTGGAGTCGTGCTCTGCGGCCTCAATTCCAAGGCGTTACCATCCGGGCTCAAGGAGGAACTCCTGTGGTCGGTTCTCTCCCGTGGGGGCGGGGCCGCGGGGGCGGGGCGGGGCCGCAGGGGGCGGGGCCCAGGACCCGTGGCAGGAAGCACAGCGAGGGGAGGTGTCCTGGCTGACCTCCAACCTGACAGATTCCATCATTTCTGACCGGGAAGCCAGCAGAGACTTCAGACCCCTGGTCAGTGTTTGACCAGGGCCCCGTCAGTAAGCCCTGGCCCCAGAGTGGCATGTCCGCCCCCGCGTTCTGCACCAGGACTTTCCAGCTGAGGAAAATCAGCTTGGAAGACGGGGTTCCCACGCCCGGGGCGCCCCTCCCAGGCCCCATGGGGCCTCCCGGGCGGGGGAGAGCGGACACCAAAGCACCTGCCAGGGCCGCTCTCGGACAGGCGGGTGCCGGGGTGCCCCAGTGTGTGGACGGGGAAACCGAGGCACCGACTGAGGGCGGGCGGGGCCGCGCGCCCAGCCCCTGGCTCTGAAGTGCAGGCCTCACTCGCCCCACGCGCACCCCAAACTCGCCCCTCCGACGCTGCACGCCCCGCGTGCCCAGTGTCCCCGCCGGGGGCTCTTCCAGGTCTGGTCCCCACGTGTGTCCCTCAGGGGGTCGGTGCCCGCCGTCCGCACAGCCAGCCTGGGCCCGGGCCCGCTTTCCACCGTGTGCCCTTGAGTTCCGCCGCCCTCCACTCCGCGTGGGGCCGGCTGAGCCTCGGCGAACGCCCGGGCTGGTGCTGGGGGCCCACCGGGCCAGGAGAGCGAGCTCGGGCTCCGGCCCGGTCCCGCCGCCCCGCGCTCTGTGTGCCTCTGTCGGCAGCCCGGCCCTGCCCGGCTGGGGAAGGAGGACGCCAGGGCAGCCGGCCTCCAAGGCGCCCTGAGCTCGGGAAGAACCCTCCAGGGCTCCCTTGGGGGGGCGGGGCGCCCTCTGGTGGTGGGGGAGCGTGTGCCGGGCCCGGGGCCCCAGAGGGGTCTGCGACGGGCCGGCGACGCGGGCCCCACGAGCGCCGCTCTCTCGCCCCAGGCACCTACGTGATGACGGTCACGGCCAACGACGCCGACGACGGCGCCACGGCCAACGGCATGGTGCGGTACCGCATCCTGACGCAGAGCCCGCAGAGCCCCTCCCAGAACATGTTCACCGTCAACAGCGAGACCGGGGACATCGTGACGGTGGCGGCCGGCCTGGACCGGGAGGTGAGGCGGGGCCCCGGTCCCCGAGGGACACCAGAGCTCTGCGGGGGGGCCGGTCACAGGGGCACGTCCTCGTCCTGTCGTGCCCGGGGGGACGTCTCAGCACAGCAGGCGCCAAGTCCACCCCCAGCCACAGCCCTGAGCGAGCGGGTCCCACGTGAGGTGACCTGCTGGCCTGTGTGGCTGGGGTGGCGGCAGGGTCCCCAAAACCTGGGGCCTGGGTCTCAGACTCGGCTCCCTGCCAGGCTGTGGGCAGTGCTGCCCGCCCCCCGTCCGGGAAAGCATCGGGTGCTGCACCCGGGTGATGGGGTCAGGCGGCCACGGGGAAGGTCGCTCCTGCGGCCTCGTGGCTCAGCAGGAGGCTGGCGGCCCGGGGTCCGCACAGGCCCGGGACGCAGCAGCCACGCAGGGCCCGCACCGGCTGACAGTGTGGGCACGTCAGGGGACCTCTCAGCGCCCCGGACGCCTCGGCAGCGGGGAGCGGCGGGCCAGGACGGCAAAGACAGAGGGTGGGGGGGTGGGGCACCCGGAGGGGGGAGAGCCGGGCTCAGCAGGGGCCTCGGGCAGCCCGGGCCCCTTCCTCTCGAGCTCTGGAGGCCCGGCCTGGCCCCCGCCTTCCCGGTGACCACGGGGCAGGCATGTGCCGCTCAGTCGCACGAGGCGCTGCCCCTGCCGGCTTCTGGAAGCCCGGCCCCGCCGCGGGCTGGGGAAGCGTTCGAAACCGCGCCGCCAGGGGAGGCCCCGCGAGGTCCTCGCAGACGTTCGCGAGCCCGTCCCGGGCCCCGACCTGCGGCCCCTTCAACACGCGTGTGTGCAGCCGTCGCCTCACCTGCGTGCCCCCCCCTGCGGGCAGCGGCGTGGGCTGACCAGGCCTGCGTGTGTGTCCTGGCGCTCGGGCCCCTCAGCAGGAGCGGCCGGGGAGCCCCCCTGGCTCTCAGGCTCACGGGCACCCCACCTAAGGGTGCATGGGGGGCGTGGGAGACCAGGGAGGGCAGGGGCGTAGGGCCGCAGGGCAAGGTGGAGGGGCTTTGCCTCCTCAGCTGGTGGCCCCCTGCCCCGCCTCGGACCCTCGGCGTCTGGTCTGCCCCTGGTCTCCTCACTGCCCTGCCCACCCCCCACTGCAGACCGGGGCGCCCACCGGGCAGGGCCTTGGGTTTGCACACACAGGGAGACCCCTGCCTGGGCCGGCAGGGCCCGGCCCTGAGGAGCTGCGCCCGGTGCGGTGCGTGCTGACGGGGCACTTGAGGCGCAGGGAGCAGGCGGCAGTGGGTGCCAGGCCCCGGGTCCCCGCCCAGCTCTCGCCTGACGCACTGGAGAGCTCACGCCCGCCCGAGTGCCGGCCCCACGGGAGCTCGGGGGGTGGTGGCGACCTTCGAGACCGGACTGCGGTTCCAGAGTCTCTGTCCAGAGCAGGAAGGGACAGCGGGGGCGTGGGGGTGGGGTGCTGAGGGGCGCGGACTGTCTCCCAAACCTTGGAACCTCGGAGCAGCTGCTGGCCCACCAGCCTGAGCCCTCTCTGGACACTGTGCCTCGGTTTCCCCATGCTAGCTTTGCTGTGTTGGGGGCACAGAGGGGGCTTTTCCTTTCATTTGAGGACAAACTGGCAGCTGTCAGGGGGGTTGGGGGCACCGGCGGGGGGACCGGCGGGCTGCTCTGCAGTGGGGGAGGCGTCCCCGCCCCCACCCCCACCCGTGAGCCCTTCCAGCCTGTGGTGTCCAGTCCTTCAGCAAACCTCCGGCAGCACCCAGTGCGGGCAGGGCACCCTGTCACCGGGGCCAGGCACCGCGCTGAACGTGTTAATTGTCCAGACAGCCCTGGAGGAGGAGTCCGGCCACAGCGTTTCCCTCCAGACGGAGGGTCCCACTGAAAGCATGTCATTCCCCCCCCCGGCCCCCGCCCTGTGCCTGCCCACCCAGCCAGCGTCCCAACCGCCCCTCAGGGCTCCCCACCCCCGGGGAGTGGCCGAGCCAGGGTCCGCACAGGGCGCCCGGCGGGACCTGAGCGTCAGATAGACAGAGTCACTTGTGGTGTGAGTGTGCCCCATGCGCACTTGGCCGGCCCTGCACCCCTGGCTCTGTCTGGCAACCCCACCCTGCAGCCGCCGCTGGCCCGCCGGAGGCCCCTGTCTGGGCCTGGAATGGACCGAGCAGGCAGCCCGGCCACCTGCAGGCCCCTCCCCGGGGAACTTGGCTGGCTCCTGCGCCCCCCTCCCCAACACCCACACCCGCGGTGACACCTGGCGGGGGCGGGACTGGACAGGAGCTGGCGGGTGACAAGCTCCCCGAGCGCCGGGCGCCACTGATCAGGGAGCCGGGACAGCCGGGGACATGACAGGGAGGGGCCCCCCCGCCCGGGGAGCCATCAGGCCCCATCAGCGTGACTGGCACCGCGCCGGCCGGCTGTCACCGCGACACGACGGGGCCCTGAGCGGGGCTGTTCGCCCGCAGCCATCAAAGGGCGCTTCCCCGAGTGAACCTGGAGCGAGCACCCGGCGCGGCCGCTGACACCTGCCTCTGCAGCTCCGGCCGGCACCTGGGCTCTGCGACGGCCGCCTGGGGGACGTGGGTGCCATCACCTGACGGCTGTCGGGGCGCCCTCACCTCGGGGGGCACAGAGGACGCCAGTCCCGCCGAACCGGTCTCCCGGTCCTTGGCTGCGGGGCCAGCCTGCGCCCCACACGCCCCACGGGCGCCCCCATCCTGCGTCCCACCGGGTCCCCTCTGGGAGCCCCGCCACCCTCTCCGCACAGGCACACGCTGTCCCCGGCACGGCAGGGAGTCCCCTTCTTCCCCCGAAAGTGCGGGGGGAGGAAGCGCCACAGACCAGTCCGAGCAGGAGGCAGGGGCGGCCCCTGTGCCCGGACCCCAGGACGGTGGGGCTCCCTCCAGCACTCGGAGGCGGGGGGCACAGGCGGGGCAGGACCCCTCGACCCTCAGTGACCCTCCACTCCAACTGCCCCAGGCCCCTCCCCACTGAGTCTCTCCCTCCTGCCCCTCAGGGTGTCCACCCCTGCCCCGGCAGGACCCCAGGGACCCCAGGGGGGCGTCTCCGCAAGACCCGGCCTGTCCGACTTTGGCCAGACATCCACAGGAGGGAATTCAGGGGGGCCCCGTGAGCAGCGCCCCCTCTCCCTCCTCAGCCAGAACATGGAGCCCAGAGCCGGGGGTCTGCAGCATCTCTGGGGGGAGGCCCCGCAGAGCCCGCTTCCCGCCCCACAGAGAAAGCCGTCTCCAGGACGGCAAAACCAACACGCGTAATTGCCGCCGTGTCTAATTAGGCAGGGCTGTGTAAATGGGGCGCTTCTACACGATTAAAATGTCAGGGGAGACTCGGAGGAGCTGCGAGGTTCGAGTGTCTCCCGCGTGCTGGGGTGCAGGCGCCTCCCCGGGGGCCCCGCGCCCCCCGCCTGGCGTCCTAACGAGGAGCCCAACAGCCTGGCGCGAGGGGACGGGACACGGCTCCGCCTCCGGGCCCACCGAGGGCCGCTCGTCGGACTGCCCCGCAGCCCCACGGCCGCAGCCCCACCGGCCCCACCGCGTCCCCGCTCCCCGGTGGAGTCCAGCCGCTCTGAGGACCTCGTGTGGGTGGGTTGTCGCCATCCTGGACCTGAAGTGTCCTCCCACCCGAGGAGGGGCCCCGGGAGTCCCTCGCGGCCCCTGGACTTTCAGGGGAGCAAAGCCAACACCACCGTCGGGACGGTTCCCAAGCCCGCCCTGCATTCGCATCGGAGGACGGCGTCTCGGGGGAGCGAGAACACCGCCACGCCCAGGGCCGGCCGACGCCAGCCCGCTCGCCCCGGTGCTCAGCCGCAGGAGGCTTATTTGGTGACAAGGCCACGCGGCCCCTGGGGAGCAGCGTCGTGACGGCCACGGGGGAAATTCCGAACCACGTTTTCCTCCAGAGCCCTGGGAGGGGACAGCCGGGTGCTGGGTGCAGGCAGGTTCTGGGGGGTTCCGTGTTTCCGGCCACCGAGGGGCGCCACGCCGCACCGTGCCAGGCAGCCCGAGTCCCGGCGCAGCCTTCCTCCACAGCCACGCCCGCAGCGGCCCCTCTCGTCACGGAAGCGACACGGAGAAAAACACGGAGAGCACATGAGAGGCCTCCCTCCGAGGACCGCAGGACGCGGGGGCCGGCCCGTGGGTCCCGTCCAGGAGGGCTTCTTGCTGGCCGCCCCATGGCACTCAGCGGGCGCCACACACGCCACGGCGGGAGAAGCCCCTCCCACAGCCCTTCCGTGGCCGCCAGCCTGCCGTCGCCTGGAGTGCGGGACCCACACGGGGACGGTGGCCTTGGGAGTCTTGGAGCTCGCTGGTCCCCTGCATTTCGGGGCTCCGGTGCCGTCTGCCCGCCAGTCTCCTCTCCTCCGTCCCGGGGAGACAGGAGAAACCACGTCGTCCTGCTAACGGGAGAAAAACACACCGTGAGAGGCCCGTCTGTGCTCCTGGCTCCCAGTCTGACGCTGCTCTTGGGGCCGGGGCCGCCGCACTGACCCAGAGCCCACCACGGGCCATTCCTCCCGGTCACTGCTTTCCAGGCCCCTCCGGGCACTTTGGCTGCAGGAGACGTCTTCCCAGCCAGAGCCGCTCACAGACCAGCGCCCACCAGTGGGTGGAGGCCAGGGTGGGGTACGCTGGCGCTGCCCCCGGGGGCTCGACTCCTCCCCGTGGCCGAGTCTCCCTGCCGTGGGGACGCAGTCACTTCCACCAGCGGCTGCCCTGGGGGCCACAGCATCTCAATGGCTGAGTGAGCAAGGACGTGTCCTGGGACTCCTGCAGCCGCGTCCCCAGGCGCAGAGCAGGGTGCAGGCAGACGCAGGCCCCGCCCCGGGGGCTGTCGCCCTGTGCCTAAGGACCGAGGCCCCAGCACGGCCAGCAGCGAAGGGAGCAGCACTGGCCGGGGGGTGGGGGGGAGCACAGCCTGTGGGAGGGGCTGCGGGCTGGAGAGCGGACAGGCCCCCCCGCCTCCTCACGCCCGCCCGCCCGCCCGCCCGCCCGCCGGCCGGGGGTGGGCTGCAGCCCCGCGTGGGGAGCGGGAGGTGCAGGGCACCCGGGAGGCTCCGTGCTTTTCTAGGCCAAGCCGCGGCTGCATTATTGATGGGTGTTCTGCAAAATTCAAGTGCTGAGCTGGGGGAGGCCGCGCGGCCCCGGGGACGGCCTCTTCCGGTGTCTTCCCTCCCCGTGAACTTGAAAGTGGCCAAGCCCCGTTTTAATGAGTTCACTGCGGCTCCGCTGGGCAGCTGGCGGGCGCTGGGCGGCAGGCAAGCGCTGGGCGGCGGGGGACAGGGCTGCGGACACAGACGCCGCTGCCCCCTCCCCGGCCTCGCTCCCCTGGCCCCCGCGCCTGCTGCTGCGCACGCGTGGGGCCGGGAGGCCAGCCCCCAGCCGGGGTCTTCCGCACAGACCACTCGGGGCCCACCCCCTGCGTGACGGTGGGACGAGCACGGACGGGGCATCCATGTCCAGGGCCGCCAGGGGACGCCCACCCACAGCCCCCACCACCATTCCTGCCCGGGGGCTCGGGGGAGGAGACTGGTGACCGCCACCCAGTCCGAAAAGCACACTTTCTGAACCAAACGCCACTGGGAGGAGCCTGAGCCTGGCCGGCGCTCTGGGCGGGGCTGAGACACTGAGGCCTGGGCGGGGGAGGGGGGGGCCCTGCCAGCACTGCCTCCTGCTTGCAGCCGGCGCATCCCACACCCACCCCGGCCCAGCGGGACCCCACCCGGGGCCCAACAGCGAGGCCAGCGCGCCCTCTAGTGGCAGCAGCTGGCTGCACACACAGACGTACCCGCCCCTGCATACAATGGATGCACATGGATCCAGACACGGGTACAGCTGCACACGCGTGTGCGAGGCTGCCTGTGGCTCCGGGGGTAAAACCAACTGCGTTTTGCACCTGCTCCCCGGGGAGGGGCCCAGAGCGGCCGAGGCCCCGTCTCCGGTGGGCGAGGCCCAGACGAGGGGCAGCTCCTGGGGCAGGACCCGGCGCCCCTCACCGAGGACATGTGGGGGCCCGGGGCTGAGATGCCGTCCCCGGCCTGTCCCTGAAGCGTCCTCGCTGGGGCTCCGTCCCTCTGCTGCACAGGAGGAAGGGGCGCCCCCCCCCGCCCGGGCACAGGGGCCCTTCCCGGGCAGTGCCTCAAGTCCGGCCCGGCGGGTTCTGAGCCCGCATTGGTGCAGACGAAGGTGACTCCAGCCAGCGAGTGAGGGGAGGACGGAGGGACAGAGGGAGGGAGGGATGTGTGGATGGAAACAGAGACAGTTTGCTGAGCATCTGCTCTTCATGATTAATTCTTTCTGGAGCTTGAGTCGCATGGCTGGAGGCTGGCCTTTCCCCCTAACCTTGAGGACTCAAGGTCGTGCATCGCTTGGAAGGCATGTCATAAGGTCCCTTCCTGCTCTGGACCCCTGACGGTGACGGGGGAGGGTGGCGGTGGTCCCGGCGGAGCGCCACCACCAGGCTGGTCTGCACCCAGCACACCGGCAGCACCTGTGGTCGCCGGCTCAGAGCAGGGGTGTGGACAAGGCCACCTCCACCGACTCGGGTGTCTGCCCTGGGGTTCCGGGCGAGGACCAGGGGGGACGGCCTCGGGGCCTGACGCTGGCGGTCCCGCCTGCCCGAGGGCCACATACACACCCCTGGGGGCCTTGTTCCAGCAGCGGGGGCTCAGCCCCGTGCAAAGAGGGGGCGAAGGGCCTGCCTCCTGTTAGAATGTCTGGCTGCCCGCCCTGCCGGGCACTGACAATGCCGCAGGGACGTGTCTCACGCCCAGACTCGCGTCTGTGGGGCTGTCACCTGCTCTGCAGGCCGCCTGCCCCTGGCTGTCCAGACCCAGGGCGGCCCCGCAGCCCCCTCTCTGCTGGCACCCGCTCCAACCTGCGCTCACGGCAGCCAGAGCCTCCGGGGCGGAAAGGCGGCCGGCTCCGGGGCTGCGCCCTTCCCCAGGGGGCGTTCCCCCCCTAGGCCTGGCCCCTGGGGGATGGGCAACGGGACCCCAGCCGCAGGGAACCCGCGCTCCTTCGATGAGAAGTGACAACAGCCTGTGGACGAACCCCGCACTGACGGCCTGTCCCCCCAACCCGCTCCCTCCAGAAAGTTCAGCAGTACACGGTCATCATCCAGGCCACCGACATGGAAGGCAACCTGAACTACGGGCTCTCCAACACGGCCACGGCCATCATCGCCGTGGCGGACGTGAACGACAACCCGCCGGAGTTCACCGCAAGCACGGTGAGTCCCGGGGCCCCCGCGGGCCTGGCCGCGCACGGGAGGGCGGAGGGGGCAGGGAGTGGGGGCGGAGAGAGACCCCTCCTCCTTCCGCCGGGCCGGTCAGCCTACCCTGGAGGCACCTCCCGGGCCAGAGCCCCCACCCCAGGCGAGCCTCAGCCGGCCTCTGAGCACACACTCATCTTGCTTCCAGGCGCCCCCTTCTCAAATCAGTCCCCCAATCCCACATCCCTGCATCCCTCGGCTGTGGGGGCGCAGCGCCACCTGGTGGCCATAGCGCAGATCGCCGCGTGGGGGGTGCCGCCGGGCTGCCCATGCAGAGGACCTGGGGTGCAGGTCCGTCTGATCCCAGGGGGCCAGTGGCAACGGTGGGGCAGGTCCAGGGCCAGAATCCCGGGGGGTGGGGGTCGGACATGCAGGGAGCAGCTCCCTGGGGGCCCTGGGGGAACAGCGGTGCCCAGGCCCCAGGCCCCAAGCCCCAGACCCCCTCCCGGCCCGGGCCGCACCTGGCCGCCCTCCCTGCTGGCAGCAGGGACACTGGGCTCGCCGGGACCCGCCAGGCCGTGCGGGCACAGGGCCTGGGCCAGCTCAGCCCTCCCCAGCTCCCGGGGGGGGGCATCATCACCCCGTCTGCAGAGTGTGCCCACGGCAACCTTGCCGTGACCTTGTAGCGGCCATGGGGCTCGGGCACTGCATGCCCCTCTCCCGAGTCAGGGGCTCGGGGGGTCTGGGCGGGGGCCCAGGTGCGAGCCAGCACACTGCTCCTAGGGACACAGGCAGCCCTGTGGCCCGCCTGCGGGGCTCCAGTGTCAGGGCGCGACACCCCACCACCACCACCACCAGAGCCCCGGGGCCCCCAGGGAACAGCCTGAGGGCTGCTGCGGTCACCGTGGAAACCAGGGCAGGGGCGGCCCAGCCGGTCTCCCTGATGGGAGTGCAGGCTCCCCGACCTGAGGCTCTGCAGTGACCCCAGCAGCTCAGGACTCAGCCCCCCATCCTGGTCACCTCGGGTCCCCACTGAGTTTGGTGCAGAGCACCCCAAGGGGCACCCCATGGAGTCGGGGGCTGGCAGGAGCCCTCAGAGACCCACCTGTTCTCGATCGCAGCCCACGCCTCAGTCTCCCCGTCCACAGGTGGGGGTTCTTGCGCCGAGGTGCGCCGGAGAAGGTTGTGGCCAGCCAGGCGCACGGGCAGCCCCACAGACGGGGGACTGCCGGCGGGATGGGGAGCCGGGGGTCCCGCACAGGCCAGAGCCCTCGCCCACCCTCCAGCCCCGGGCTGGCGGGGTCTCATTCCTTACGGCCAAGGGCCCCATCCACCCCAGGGCTGCGGGCTCCCTTCACGCTGGACAGAGTTCTGTTTGCCGCCCGGGGTCTGGGCGGCGGGCAGCATAAGGCCCAGACCCGAGAGCGGCCGGTGGGTGGGTGGGTGGGTGGGTGTCCCCCTCGTCTGCACCACCCCCGTCTCCCGCCCCACAGACACAGACCCTTCCCACCGGCACAGCCTCTCGGCGGCCGCTCCACCACCGTCCACCGTCTGCCGTCCGCGTGGGCGTCACTGCTCTGCAGCACCATCCGGACGCCCCCCGCTAGGAAGACGCCGCTCCTCGGAGCGTGACCCGTCAGTCACAGGGGCTCTGGGTCTCAGGGCGCCCGCCCCTGGGCATCTTGGAGCTCTTGGGGGGAGTGGGCCACAACACATCCCCCTCCAGAGGGGTGACAGGCGGGGGGCCTGCGAGACCGTGCGGGCGCAGCGGCCGGCAGGGCCTGGGGCTGGCCACACCCCTCACGCGGCGGGCGGATGGGCAGCTCCAAGGGGCCTAATCAGGGACGATGAGCGGGAGCTGAGGCAGGCGCTGCAGGGGCCGGCTCCTGTTAGGTGCTGATGAAGCCTCGTCCCACCTCACCTGCTCCTCGGGCTCGCTGCCCGCCGCTCTGCACTCGGCTCGCTCTCGGATGAGGGGGGGGGCATGCTGGAGGGCCGTGGTCCCGGTGCACAGCCTGGGGACCGCTCCCAAGGACCTCTGGTTTGCCCCGCCCCGGGGTCCCTGAGGGACGGCCCGGAGACTCAGCACGCAGCCCCTGGCGTTGGAGCTGGCTGAAGCAGGCCCTTGTGCGCCCACCCAGCATCACCAGGCCGGGGTCCGTGGGCCCCCCTCCCGGGCCCCGCCTCCCCTCCTGCTCCGAGGCCGGCGGGGCTGGAGCACACCCTGGCAGGGCAGGGCAGGGGCTTCCCGGGCCGGCGGTCCCGGCTCTGGTCATCCCCATGCGGACCCCTGAGCTCCGGGCCGGGGGAACCAGTCAGATGTCGACACCGAGCCGCCGCCGGGACCAGCGAGGGCTCCGGGAATTGGGGACAGAAACCGAGCACCACCTTGGGGTGCACGAGGGTCCGGGGCTCGTGTGTGTGGCAGGCGGTCAGCGTCGGACCTCCCGCTCGGCATCCGGGCCGCCTTCTCACCCGCGTCCGCCGCCGTGCTCCGTGCCGACCCTCTTCAGGCTCTCCCCTCCCCCAGTCGCTGCCGCCGCGTCCACTGGGGCAGGGGCGAGGCCGGCCCTGGGCCGGGAAACCTGAGCAGTGACACTGAAAGCTGGTTTCGGCCGGGGGAGGCTCGTCTGCAACCTGCCCTGGGTTTCCCGGCCGGGGCCTCTCTCCGGGAACCGCCGTCACACTTGCTCGAATCAAAGCTGATCCCTCAAACACACTCCCCTGCCCCCCCCCCCGGGGCTGGAAGCAGGGAGCCTGGGAGGTCGGGCACCTCTCAGAAGTCAGACGGGTGCAAGGAATTCTGGGAGGAGGAGGGCTGAGCCCAGCTGCGGCCTCTGGGCCCCTCCCTTCGGGGCACCCCAGGGTCCTCACCTCTCTCGCAGCAGTGAATGGGGTAACAGCAGGGGCACCCAGGGGAACCAGCGAGGCCGGGCATGGGCCTGGCCCACGGAGCACGCCCAGGGATCACTCCTGGGGCTGCGCTGCCGCAGGTGACGCCGGAAACCCCCAGGCGCCTGCCCAGCCCCCGTCCCCCGGCTCCGTGGCTGGAAACCACGCTGCACGGCGGGAGGACTGCCCGCCCAGCCCACAGACTCTGCATTCTGCAGAGTGGGGGTGCAGCCCCTTGTCCACACACTGCCACCGACTTCCAGGCGGTGATGGCAGCCCCGGGGCCCTTCTGAGCCGGGCCCCAGCCGCTGGGCCAGCAGCCCCCGAGGCCAGCCTGAGCTGCAACTCCCACGGGGCGGGGGGACCTGCTCAGGTTCCTGAGGCCACCCACGCAGGACCAACACTGCATACGCACACGCGTGCACGCACGCCTTTCTCAGCACGTCACGGCCCTGCCACGCAGGCCACACTCACTGACGGGAGTGGCTCACAGCCCTCGGGGCCATAAGGGCCGAGTCCCCAGTTCCACTGCCCGCAGCACTGGCCCTGAGCCCGGCCGGAGCCAGGACCTGCAGCACAGCTCTGCTGGGGACAGCTCTGCTGGGGAGGCCCCTCCCCTGCTCTTCCTCATCCCCGTCCCGCACGGACGCCCCGGGCTCCCGGGTGCCCTCTGCTGACAGGGAAAGGCCTGAGGGGGACCCAGCAGAGAGGCTGGTGTGTGCGTGTGTGCCCGGAGCAGGCTCAGTTTGGACGCGACGGGGCAGCCCTGAGCCTCGGGCCCTCCCCCGATGCCCCCACCAGGAACACGGGAGGGGGTCCCAGGTCCGGGAGCAGCTGGTGGCGCGCCGCTCCCGGCACCTCCCACGTCTGAAGGTCCGTGACGCTCTCTTCCGCCGCGTGCACGCTGCAGTACGCAGGGGAAGTCCCCGAGAACCGGGTGGAGACGGTGGTCGCCAACCTCACGGTGACGGACCGGGACCAGCCGCACTCCCCGAACTGGAACGCTGTGTACCGCATCATCAGCGGGGACCCCTCGGGGCACTTCGTCGTCCGCACCGACCCCGTCACCAACGAGGGCCTGGTCACCGTGGTCAAGGTGGGTGCCCCCTCGCTTCCTGCCGGGCGGCCCGGCCACCCCCGCCGCGGCCCCGGGACAGACCCCACAGACTCGGTCCTGGGGGCTAGGGCACGCCGCCCCTGACACCCAACGGCAAAGGAGGGGGCCCCCGCCCGCGGGTGGCAGAGGCGGGCTTCCCCAGGACCCGGTCACGCGACCCTCGGCCGGCCCCACCCAGGAAGTCAGCCCCGACCCCTCCCCGAAGGCGAGGCCCGTTCACAGACCAGCGGGTATTACTCCGTCCCTGGTTCCTGGGACAGAGCCCGCCTCGTCCCGGAGGGGTCCCTCTCTCTCTCTTCTTTTTTATTGTGTTTTCTCCATCACCACCAACCCGCTTATTACCCACCCCCACACGCGGCACCCTGTGGTCCAGTCCACGGGCTCTGTCTCCTTGTCGCTCTCCCCTGCCCCTGCCCCCACCAGCTGTCCCCGGCTCTCCGTCCACGAGTCCGTCGCTGTGCAGGCCCAGCGCACCCTCGCACACCTGTTTTCCACACCTGGTTTCCACACCCGTTTGTACCGAGTTCCCAGTGAGTGGGGTGTGGGCCCAGCCAGCATTCACCAGTGGGGGTCCCCTGCCCAAACTCTCTCCTCCCGCTGGCCACACCCCTCCGGCGGGAGGGTGGCACCCACGGGGCGGGAAGGCAGACAGGAGGGAGCCCGGGGGCAGCGTCCCTTGGGACCAGCCCCCTGGACGCCGACAGACAGCGGTGGCGGCCCCCGCTCCTGCCCCACGGCCCCCCGCCTCCGGCCGCGCGGCAGCCCCGCCGCTCACGGGCCACGGCCCCGCCCCCGCCCCGTTCCAGGCGGTGGACTACGAGCTGAACAGAGCGTTCATGCTCACTGTGATGGTGGCCAACCAGGCGCCCCTGGCCAGCGGCATCCAGATGTCCTTCCAGTCCACGGCGGGGGTGACCATCTCGGTCGTGGACGTCAACGAGGCCCCCTACTTCCCCTCCAACCACAAGCTCATCCGCCTGGAGGAGGGCGTGCCCCCCGGCACGGCGCTCACCACCTTCTCGGCGGTGGACCCCGACCGCTTCGTGCAGCAGGCGGTGAGGTGGGTGCGCGGCTGCTCGCCCCCCGGCCCCGCCCTCCAGGGAGAGGAGCCCCAACACCCACAAAGACCCGTCGGGGCTCGGGCGGCCCCCACCTATGGCGTCTCTCCGGGAGGGAGCAACGGGACCCGGTCCTGGGGACAGCTGGGGTCCCGGCCCGCCTGACATGGGGGCGGGCGGGGGGGTGGCGAGGGGACGATGCCACCGCCATGGGCTGACGCAGGGCTGGGGGCTGGGGGCTGGGGGCTGGGTCCCACCCCGGCCTTACTGCACAGCTTTGGGGTGACTCACCTCCGTGCCTCAGTCTCCCTGCCTGTGGACGGCAGGCAGGAGAGCATCTGCCCCCCGGGGGGTCCCTGTGAGGACCCGCAGCCCGTCCACCTGGGTGACCACGGGTCCCGGGTGCCACCCTCCCACCGGGGGAGGGCCCTTGCAGGGCTGGAGCGGAAGCCCCGGCGGACCCAGCGTGCGGGCCCACACCCCCCAGCCCCGGGCCTCACCTCACCCCCGCCCCCGCCCCCGCCCACAGGTACTCGAAGCTGTCGGACCCCGCGAGCTGGCTGCACATGAATGCCACCAACGGGCAGGTCACCACGGCGGCCGTCCTGGACCGCGAGTCCCTGTACATCAAGAACAACGTCTACGAGGCCACCTTCCTGGCGGCTGACAACGGTACGGCCGGCCCCGGCGACCCCGGGCGCTCGCCGGCAGCGCGGGCTCTGGCAGGGGGGCCGAGGGAGGCCCACCGGCAGGCACCCAGAGGGGTGGCCGGGGTAGGGGGGCAGGGCCTGGTCATGCTCCGGGGCCCTCCCCGCGTGGTGCATCCACAGCACCGTCGCTCGGCCGCGTCACCCTGACGGTGCTGGGACGGGTCTCCTGGGACGTGCCGCGGGGTTGGGGGGGCGGGTGTAGTTCTGACGTGACCCCCGCCTGCCTCGGCCCCAAAACTCAGGGAACCGGCATCGGAGTCGGGAGCCGCCCTCAGGGGGCATGGCCACTGTCGGGACGCTGTCGCCACCCCCCTCGGCGCCTGGTGGGCGGACGGGGCACGTTTCTCTGCCGCCCAGCACGCGGCCACCGCACCGCCGGCCTGGGCCGAGGCGCAGAGGCTCGGGAGGCCCTGAGAGGCGTTCGGGGGCCCACCGAGGCGGGAAGCCAGAGGGGAGAGCACCCCAGCCCAAACGCCCCCTTCCCGCAGACGGACGGTTCCCGGGGTTCTCCCTTGGGTGCTAAGAGCCTGCACCCGGGGCGTCCGGCCAAGGGGAGCTCTGCTGGGGGTGGGGCGCAGGACACTCGGAGGGCGGCCGGCAGAGCCCCCCGGGCCCCTGAGGGCGGGGGTCTCGGAGCAGCACGCGGGGCCCCGTGCGGTGACCGCGTCTGCCCCACAGGGGTGCCCCCGGCCAGCGGCACCGGGACCCTGCAGCTCTATCTCATCGACATCAACGACAACGCCCCGGAGCTGGTCCCCAGGGAGGGGCAGGTCTGCGAGAGGCCGCACCTCAACGCCATCAACATCACCGCGGCCGACGCCGACGTGGAACCCAACGTCGGCCCCTACGTCTTCGAGCTGCCCTTCGTGCCCGCCGCCGCGCGGAAGAACTGGACCATCACCCGCCTGAGCGGTGAGGCCGCCCCCGCCCCGGCGCTGAGGTGATCGAACTGAGTCTGGGGTGCGGCCCCCCGGGGCCTGGCGCCCGGGAAGGGGAGGCCGCAGGGGCGGCAGGCGGACCCACGGGAGGGCTGCGTAGCACCCCCACGAGGCTGGGGACCCGCCACGTGGCAGCCCCTTGCTGTGGCCACGCGCCCAGGTGAACCCCATGCAGCTGACCTGGACCGCCGTCCCCGAGTGCGTTCCCAGGGGCGGGCGCGCGCAGAAGGGCCCCCCCGAATCCCGAAGTCCCGCCGGCACCGTGAGGAAGCCCCTCCCTCGGACGGCCCCACTGATTTCCAGCCCCGCCGGGCGGACAGGAGCGAGCCTGCTCCCCCCGCCTCCCAGGCACGTGGGGGTGCTGCTTCCAGCAGCCGTCCCAGCTTCTCGGCCGACACCAGGCCCCGTCCGCGTCTGGTCCCCGACGGCGGGCACTCTTCGCTCCTCCCCTGAACACCCCCCTCTCCCCGTGTCGCCCCGCCCCAGGCGACTACGCCCAGCTCAGCCTGCGCATCCTGTACCTGGAGGCCGGGGTGTACGACGTCCCCGTCATCGTCACGGACTCCGGGAACCCCCCGCTGTCCAACACGTCCGTCATCAAGGTCAAGGTGTGCCCCTGCGACGACAACGGCGACTGCACCGCCACGGGCGCGGTGGCGGCGGCCGGCCTGGGCACGGGGGCCATCGCGGCCATCCTCCTCTGCGCCGTGCTGCTGCTGAGTGAGTGGGCCGGGGGCCGGGCGCGCGGGGGGCGGGGGGCACCTTGCAGAGACCCCGCCGAGGAGTCCGCACGGCCACACCCGGGCACGCGCGTCCACACGCGTGCACCCAGGCCCACTCCCAGGAACTGTCCGCGTGCACATGTGTGCACATGCACGCACACGCACAGGCACATGCGTGGACACACACAGACCTGTGGGCATGCACGTGCACGCTCTCACAGGTGTAGGGCCCAGCCGCGCCGGTGCCCCTGAGCACACGCGTGTGAGGGACACGCACGCACGGGCGCGCGGCACACGCACGGGCCACTCACGCCCGCCCACCGCCCCCCCCCCCCAGCCATGGTCCTGCTGTTCGCCGCGTGGGTGAAGCGGCGGGAGCGGGAGCGGCACACGAAGCAGCTGCTCATCGACCCCGAGGACGACGTGCGGGACAACATCCTCAAGTACGACGAGGAGGGCGGCGGCGAGGAGGACCAGGTGGGCGGGCCCCGCCCCCGCGCCCCGCCCCGGCCCGGGCGCTGGGGGGAGCTGCCAGGTTGGACGCGGGGGTGCGCGTGGCCACTGCGGGACTCAGGACGAGTCCTCACCCCCCGAGGCTGAGTGCCCCCCCCCACAACTCGGGTGGCAGCGGAGGTGCCGGGGGCTGGGCAGTGTGGGCAGTGGGGTCCCCGGGGACCCCCAGGCGGGCAGAGGCAGCCCCCACGTGCCTCCAGGACAGACAGACAGCAGGTGGGCGTGTGGGGAGGCAGACAGGGGGACGGGGCCTCACGGTGGGCTCTCCCGTGCTCAGCCCGCGGCCCCCGCCGAGCCTCACCCCTGCCCCTGCCCCCCCCGCCCAGGACTACGACCTGAGCCAGCTGCAGCAGCCGGAGGCCGTGGAGCACGTGCTGAGCAAGGCAGCCGGCGTGCGCCGGGTGGACGAGCGGCCCGTGGGCGCTGAGCCCCAGTACCCGGTCCGGCCCGCGCTGCCCCACCCGGGGGACATCGGCGACTTCATCAGCGAGGTGGGTGCTCGGGCCTTGGGGAGCCCCCAGCAGGGCCTACCCTACGTGTACAACCCTAGGAACACGCTCAGGCCACAGTGGTGCCCTCCATGCTGGGCCCCGGTCAGGGGGGCAGAGGGGACCCAACTCGGTCTGGCCCCTGCAGGCCGTGGGCAAGCCCCGCCCTCAGCACCCGCCCCGTGCCAGGAGGGGCCTGCGGCACCGGCCCTCTGCTCCCGACGGTGCCTGGGAGGGGGCTGGCCACGTGCACGTCCCCCCCGCGTCCCGTCCGTCACTGAAACAGAGCAGGGCCCAGGCAGGGCCCCGCAGAGGGACAGAGGTTTCCCACACGGTCCCCGGCCCACGGCACGTCCCAGGCCACAAGTGAGGCCTCTGCAGCTGCCCGGTCCGGCTTGGCCAGCGCTCGCTACCCCCCCTGCCCGCCCCGAGAGGACACCCTCCCCACCTACCGTGAGAAAGCCACCCCTGACTAGTTCTCCCGGGAAGCGAAAGCGGGCGGCCCAAACTCCTCAGCACGGAATGACCGTTCAAGTCGGGCAGTGAGGCGCGTCGGGCAGTGACCTCGGGGACACGGGGCCACCCCGCTGGGGACCTCCCGGGGCCAATGCAGACCCCGCACCTCAGAGCAGGCCCGGCCACGGGCCGGGGAGCAGGGCGCGCACCCACTGTCGGGGCCGCACTCCAGGGCAGGGGCTGGCGGCGGGGTGGGGGGCGGCCGCCGCGCCTGCCGCGTGGCCCGTGTTTGGTCCCGGGGCTGTGAACGGCCGCAGCCCTCTGGCTTCGGGGCACCTCAGGCGCACGCTCCGCGGGACAGTGACCATGGAGACACGACCCACCCGGGGGCTGAACTCCTGCCACAGGCCCCCCCCAGCCTCCTCCTCCTCCTCCCCCGCCTCAAGCTGACGCTGAACTCGCAACCACCCACAGCCCCCTGTCCTGTCTCTGAGACGCCTCGGGGAGCACTGATGGAGCACCTACCTACGGGGTGCAGGGCCCCGCAGCTCGGCCTCCCTGGGCTCCCCACTCCCGCCCCGCAGACCCCGCCCCCCCGCCCTAACCCGGTCTCCTGGCCCCCAGGGACTCCGGGCGGCGGACAACGACCCCACCGCGCCCCCGTACGACTCCCTGCTGGTCTTCGACTACGAGGGCAGCGGCTCCACGGCGGGCTCCGTCAGCTCCCTGGACTCCTCCAGCTCCGGCGACCAAGACTACAACTTCCTCAACGACTGGGGGCCCCGGTTCAAGAAGCTGGCGGACATGTACGGAGGCGGCGAGGACTGACCGGCCCCTCCTCCCCGGACCAACGCGGGACCAGCGCTCGGACGGACAGACGGAGGCACCCACGCCGGAGGGGCGGGCCCGGCGGAGGCCGCCGGGGGGGCCCCCGCCCCCCTGCAGGCGGGTCCTTTAGTGGTGTGCGGCCAGGGGTCCCCCCGCCCCGCCCCCCCGCACGGAGCTGTCTGGCCGGAACACTTCTCGCCCCGCCGCCCATCCCGGTAGCTGACCCATCACTGAAGGACAGCGAGAGGCACTCTGTCTTAACTTGAACCCCTTAGAACAGAAGCACTGTTGAAACAAACATGGAAGTGCCTTTGGGTGCACGGGTCGGTTCCCCGCAAACTCAGGAGTGACTGCCGCAGGCAGACCCGCCCCGGGCTCCGCCGCCCCGGCCCCGGCCCCGGCCCAGCTCCACAGGCACCAACCTAGGAATCAGGAGAAGGTGTCTCTTTCTTTAGTTTTTGCGTTTGGGCCTTTTATTAAGAGAAAAAGTGGGTGGCTCGCTTGACAAAATTTGCAAAGGAAAAATAGTTTGGGGTCCAAAATCACAACAGCCCTCCGTGTCCCCAAGATCTGTCACACACGGCCGGGTCTCCGGGGCCCCTCGGGGGCCCCCAAGGCTGGGCGGGGAGCCCGGCCGTGGCGTGTCCCCAGGGTGGCCACGCCCATGACCAGAGGTCCCATCCTGTGTATCTGGCTTTCACTGCGTTTTTGGCCACCCCCCTCCAAGACGCTGAAATCGCTGGCGTGGGGGACACGTCACCCAGGGGCCGTCTCCGTCCTTGGCTGTCCCCTGGGTCCGCCCAGTCAGCTCTCCGGCCTCCCCAGGGACAGCTGTCAGCCTGAGCACCGCCCACATCCCCACTGCCCTCGGTCCGGGACTGCGTGGTGTCCCCAGAGGGCACAGCCCAAACCAGCCCGTGTCTGAGCCGGCCTCCCCTCCAGCCTGAACCTGTCACACACCCAGCGGGCGCGTGCCGGTCCAGCCCCCAGACCGCGCGCCCAACGCCCTGGCCGCCCGGGCCATGCAGACTCCCAGGCCCCGGAAGCCCCTGCCCCTGCCGCTGCTCCCCACCAGGCCGGGGCTCTCCAACACGCGGAACACGTGTGCACGCGACAGCCCGCCGGGAGTGTGCCCCAGAGCCCCGTCTGGCTGTCCGTGTGCCCGCTGCGTGGCTGGGTGGCCCCTGCTGGGGATGGCAGCCCCCGGACCCGGGTCAGCACTGAGTGGCTGTGGAGGGTTCGGGGCTCAGGGCATGGAGCCGGACCTGCCCTGTGGGTGCTGGTCAACTCCCCCCAGGGCTGGGGCGGGCAGTTCCATGGACGGACAGCAACAGGCTGTGTCCCAGGGACCCCTGGGGGGCCACCGGCCGCAATCGGACCCTGGGAGGGGTGGGCAGCAGGACCCGGGGCGTACAGGAGCCTCCGGCCAGCAGGACGCAGGAGGAGGGCATCCTCGAGGGGCAGTCCTTGTATCTGGTCCTCTCGGGGTCCCCAAAGAAGGGGGCAAGTGCCACTGGCCAGGGCTGGACTCGGCATCCGAGCCCCCTGGAGGAGGGGAGTCCCAGGTGACAAAGGACGAGGAAGTTGGCCTGCCCTGCCCTGGGGTCCCGGGGCCACTCCCCCCACGCCGGGCCTGTCCCTGTTCCACGGTCCGCCTCTTTCCCAAACAGCTCTGGCCTTGAGGTGAACTTGAGCGAGCGTGTGGGTGAGCAAGGCACACAGGTGTCCCGCTGGACGTCAGGGTCCCCCCCAATCCAAACCCGTCGCCAGCTCCGCCCGCTCTCCCCGAGCCAGGCTGAGGCAGGTTCTGTCCACACTGCCCCGGGGCGCGGCTGCGCGGGCGGGAGCAGGTCGCTGCGTCACCTGCTGCACATCGGGGCAGCTGCCCAGGGGAGGGGCCCGGCCCCGCAGCCCCCAGCCGTGCTATGCAAATTGCAGGGTCCGGTGGAGAGCAGGCCCAGGGCCCCGGGGTGCAGCTGGGGCATGGCCAGGCCAGAGCTTGCTGGGGGGTCGGGGCAGGGGGGAAGGAGCTGGGCCGTCCCGTCTTCGTTTGTTTGGGGTCAACTGGCCCTCCAGGCGCAGCTCCTGGTGTGAGCTCGGCTCAGGAGCCCGTGGCTGTGGGCCCTCCTCTCGGAAACCCCAAGGCCTCCTGGGCCGCCAGGGGCTCACCTCAGGGACAGCTGTGCCCCCGCTGGCCAGGACGCAGCCGCCCGCCTGCCAGGCCCTTGCCCTCTGACCCCTTCGCTGCCCCTCTGCCGAGTCCCCAGGGAGCAGGGCCTGGATGTCCGGGTCACGAGCGCCCTCCACTCCTCCCCTCCCCCGCCTCGCGTCACTGCCAGGGGCTGGCTCTTTTGGGCCGAGGCCACGGCAGCCCACTGGGGACACCGACAGGGGCCCTCCGGGCCGCCCCTGCCCCCAGACAGCTGTGCCCGAGCCCCCCCAGCCCGCAGGCCCCGGGGCCAGAGCAGGACGGCACCCACCCCCTCCCAGATCCTCGCCAGAACCCTGTCCCAAGGCCAACGCGGTGGCACGAGCTAAGCGTACGATCAGTGTCACACGTCCCCCGTGTAGCTTGTAGACGCGTGTCCCTGGCCAGGCACCCGCCAGCCTGCAGGCCCGGCCCGGGCAGCGGCGCCGCGCCAGGGCGAAGTGCGGCTCCTTCCGGGAGCAGGATGGCCTTGCGCCGTGGGGCGGCGTGTCAGGAGGCCCCGGCCTCGCCCAGCGACCCCCGCGGCCAGGGGCTCCCCGTCTGCCCAGAAGGTCCCCCCTCGTGTCCTCCAGCACGTCCGGCCCCCAGTGTCAGGGTCACGGCCCGTCAGCGGGCCTGGAGATGCCTCAGCGTCCCTAGCAGGAGCCTGGCCAGCGCCCGGCCCCTGGAGAGGCCAACTCTGTCCCCTCCCAGGCCCAAGGCTGGGGGAGGGGCGGCCCCAACTGTCGTCAACGCCGACAGCGAGGACACCGCCAGCGGGACACGCTCCCGCATCGCAGGTGTCGTCGGGGGGACGCGGGCGGGGGCGGCCGGCGGGGCCGAGGACCGGGCGCCCGTGGGTGTCCCTGGGACGCTCTCCACGTTCCCCGTCTCTCCTCCTCACGCGGGTTTGTTCGTTTTTCTTTTCTTTGCATGTTTCTTTCGGAGACGGACGGCGCGTGCGGCAGCCCGCATGACTGTGGCTGCCTCGGGAGAGGTTCCGGGTTGGGGGGGGGACGTGTTCCCACCGCGCCCCGCGCCCCGTGTCGTCAGAGAGACGTTCGACTTCTTTTGTAAACGTCCACAGCACAACTATTTTGTATCGTCGTTTGTATCATTTTGTACCAAAAAAAAAAGGAAAGAAAAAACAAAAAGAAGGCAAGCGCGTCGATGTTCTCCATGTGTTCTCAGTGCCCGGCGGCCGGTCTCGGGGCCGAGGGGGGCGCGGCCCGGCCCGCAGCTGAGCAGCAAATAAAGTCCCTTTGAAGCAGCCAGTCTCGCCTGCCTCGTTTTGTGCCCGAGTTCAGAGGCCGGCCACGCTGGGGGCTGCCGGGTGGGTGAGCGCGGCGGGGCTGGGCGTCCACGGTGGCCCCGTCCACTGGGCACAGGGTCCGGAGCGGCCCCAGCGTCCGGCGCCCGGCCCTGGGCCCTGGGCCCGGGGCCCTGGGCGTGCAGAGGGGAGCCGAGGCAGCCCCTTTGCGCCTGCGAGGCCCAGGGAAAGCGGGGGGGGGGGAAGGCCCCCGCGCCCCGTGCCTCCGCACGGCGACCATCTCGGTCCAACGCAAGCCAGCAACGTTCTCGCGTCCCCGTGCTACCCGACAGGTAAGCCTCCAAGAGACCACAGGAGCCTGGTTCAAAGTCACAACCCTCAGGCCCCCTTGGCTGCGGGCCCCGTGACCCAGCCTGCCCTTGACCCCCAGCCTGAGCTGGAGCTGGAGGGGTCACAGGGGGAGCCCCGCGGGCAGCGCCACACTGCAGAGCACCCCGACCCCGGCGATGCAGGACGCTGGGCCCACAGAGCAGCGGAGTGGAGAAAGGCTGAGGGCGGCGGCCCCCCGCCTCCACGAGGGCTGCCTGCCGGGTCAGACCCGGAGGTGCCCCAGGGTCCGTGACAAGGGAGGCCGCCTGAGACCCGGGACGAAGCGAGGAGCCCCCGCGGCTCAGGTCAGGGTGCCACAGGGACTGTCCCCTCCCACGGCGATGCACGTGTGGCCGCTGCTGGAGGATGGACACCGTCCCCCAGTCCCGGCGTGTCCCCCTGGGAGCTGCTTCACTCGAGAGAGACGTGAGCCTCTCTCTTCTGACTTCTAACTGGGGGGCGCACAGTGTGGCCCCTGCCTCTCTCAGCTCCTGGCGGGCGCCCCACCTCCTGCCCTCCCGCCCCGGGCCCTGGGAAGCTGCTCGCGCACGTCCCCCACCCCCCGACCCCCGCCTGCCCAGCAGCACCCTGCTCAAGTCCCGCGGGCCCCGGAGCTGCGCAGACTGAGCGGCCCACACCCTGACAGCCCAGGCCAGGCTGGGGGCCCGTGACGGGGGCCGGGCCGGGTATGGGAACGTCCCTGGGAGGGGACACCTCGGGGCAGGGGGCGGGCACCATAGTCACACATCTGCCAGCACTGGAGGCCTGGACGCAGCATCCCGCGGCGAGACGGCGAGACACGCTGACCGCCCTCGGACTTGCGGGGCCTCCGTCCCCAGGGACGCACCACACACGGGCCACCTGGCTCACGGGCTCCCACGGGCTCCCACGGCAGCCCCGAGAGCACACGGGCAGAGACGCGGGCCCCTGCCTTGGTGGGCCCGCCCAGCCGGCCCAGACCCAGGGCGCCCGGGGCTGTGCGGGGCACCCCCGGGGGTCTCCCTGCACCCTCCAGTCCGAGGTCTGACGCGGCCTCACGGGAGAGGGAGGGGCCCTGGCTGGTCCTTTGGTCCGTGGGTCCCATCCTGCCAGCCCCTCTGTAGACAGGACCCAAGCCCAAGGGCTCCCCAGAAAGGCCCACCCTGGGCCACCTGAGAGAACCCCACTCCCACTGCCCCCTGGGCCCGGCGGCAGGACCCTCGCCCTGGCTCAGCCCTCAGGAGCTGCATCAGAATGAGGGGCACTTTGGGGGCCTGCGGCCTCCCAAGCATTAGATCGTCTGGCTGGCACTGGGCCTTGCCAGACGGTGCCCCAAGGATGGCAGGGCGCAGGGCCCTGGCGCCCACGGAGCCGGTGGCCCGGGGCCCGGCCACACTCAGAGCAGACCTCAGCCCACCTTCCCCGCCCGCCCCTCCCAGCCCACGGGCTCTGCCAGCAGCCCCCCAAGGGCCCCGCCGCCCGCCCGCCCACTGCCGGGCCCAGCACTCGGCCCCAGCACTCGGCCCCGCAGCCCGCACACTCACCGGGGGTGCCGTGTCGGCTCCCGGAGGCCGCGGGGCGCTGTCTGCGGTGCTGGACCTGAGGCTGCGTGGCTTCAGACAGTGCCGGCGGGGACTTCTGCCTGTGGAGGAATAAACCGTGGGCTTGGGAGTTGGGTCGACGGTGAGAGTGGGGACAGAGGGGTGAGGCCCAGCCCTCTCCGCCCGCCCGTGCTGAGCGGGCCGTGGGAGGCACCCGGGCAGCCGGCCCCACGGCCGCTCCTGCACCCCAGGCTCCAGCCTCCGGCTGGGGGGCCTCCCCTGGCCCGGCTGGGAAGCCCTCGGGGAGCGAGTCCCCGGACTCCTCTGCCAGAGCTGCTTTCCCACCCGGACACTCATGGCCCTCGGACCCCCATGGCCCTCGGACCCCCTAAGCAACCGAACTGCTAGACACTCGCCTGCTGCAGCCGGACTGGTTCCCCCGGTCTGTCTCCGCCTCTCGGCGGGGCCTGGCCGGGCCCCTGACCACTGGCCTCTCCGTTTCCACGGCCCCCGGAAGCGGAGGCCGGGGAGCAGTCCCAGGAGAGCAGGGGCTCCGTCCTAACGAAGGGACTCGGCCCGTGGCGCGGGGAGGAGAGGGAGAGAAACCTCCAGAGGCACACGGACAAGGGGCCAGTCATGAGAGTGAGCTCCCTGCACCTGAGGCCAAGAGTGACCTCGGCTTCCCACCACCCTGCCTTTTCCGCCCTTCTACAGTCAGGAGTGGTTGCCATGGAAACTGAGGCCCGTGGTCAGGAGCCGGGGTGGGACACGGGGTCAGCCGGGCCGGCCGGGAGGTGGCCCCCGGGGCTGTGACCGGCTAGTCACCCGGAGCCCTGCTCCTGGGCTGCCGCGGGCCATGACAGAGAGCGAGCCACGGGCCGCCAGCACCGAGGAAGGGGGGTGGGGGGCTCTCCCAGGGTCGGCCTGGATGCCCGGGCGGCCTGCCTCCACCGGGACCTGACCTCTGCAGCTCACCTTGAACGCTGCTGCTGGCGTGCTTCCTGCGTCGCTGAGACGAGGGCGTGCTGGCGGCCGACGCCGGTCTCCTCTCCCCAAGGCGTGGAGGCCGGAGCTCCGGGACCGGGGTCCCTGGGCCAGGCCCAGGCGCGGGCAGGGCCGGGCTCCTGCTGGGACTCCGGGGGTCCCTCCGCGGGTGCGACGACCGGTGGCCCCAGGCCGGGGCTTGTGACTGCGTCACCCCGGCCTCTGCCTCTGTCTTCACGGGACTTCTCTAATCCCTCTGCCTCCCCCCACCTCAGGCACGCCCGTCCTTAGATTTAGGACCCCCCCAGGCGAGAGACGATGGGCTCATCTCGAGACCCTTAACTCCATCCCACCTGGGGACCCTTTTCCAACAAGGTCGTGTCACAGGCTCCGGGGGTTGGGACCGGCTATCTTGCGAGGGCCGTTTCTCAACCCACCACAACTGTCGACACTGAAAACCAAGGGACTGTACCAGCACCCCGCCCCTCCCCCCCAGAAAAAACGCCTGGGCCTCTCGTGAGGAGCCCCGCGTCCGGGACCGGGGCCCTGGGGTGTGAGGGCTGCCGGCACGTGGCGCGGCAGCCGGGCTCGTCCCCGGCGGGCAGGGTGCTGACTCCCACCCCTCACACTCCTCCCTTAGCGGGGAGAGCTGGGCAGACCCGAGCGGGGACACGCAGCCCACCCCCACCTGCTCAAGCCTCGCACACCTCCCGTGTGTCCCCAGTGCCGGCCCCCAGCCCCACCCCGCCCAGGCTCCTGTGCCGGGCCCTCCTCGGTCCCCACCTACTCAAAGGCCCTCACCCGCTCTCCTCCCCACGTGCCCTCCTGTGCCCCCCTGTGCCCCCCGCAGGGGAGCTGCCACCTGGCCGCCCCCTGGAGGCCTCGGGAACCCTGCCCCTGCGCTCCTGCCGGGCCTCTGGCAAGCTGGGCCAGCGCCCTCCCCCCGCCACCAACACAGCCCGGGCCCCCGTCCCCGAGAGAGACATGCTGGAGCCCTGACCCGGGGACTCCAACGTGACCTTCCACAAAGAGGGTCTGGACACAGGTCACTGAGGTAACCTGAGGTCACTGCTGGCCCCACCTTGCTGACCGGTGAGACTGACAGGCGTACACGCACCTCGTGGAGGGGAGGGTGATGCTCCCCAAGCCAAGGGACGTCCCTGACACCCGCGAGCCAGGAGTGGGGGTGCCCCGGATGCCCGTCCCCCCTGACCCCGCCACGCCGGGACCCGGCCCCAGGACCGCACGGCCCACGCCTGCCGTCTGCAGTGTGAGCGGCGCCGCCGTGGGGCACGGGCGGCAGGCACCACACGTGTCAACACCCCACACTTCGCTGGAGACCCACCACCACCCCGGTCCCCGGGGAACCGGACTCCGCTGCGGCTCCGCCACCGCCCGCAGCTCCCGGGCAGCGGGCTGCTTGGGTCGGGCGGCCGGGCCCCAGGCAGGGCCCTGGGGAGCCGCAGTCCGACCGGGCAGCCCGCACTCTCACGGATGGACAGCGGTGGGCGGCCCCGAGACCCCACCTCGCACGCCGTGGTGGCACCACATCAGGCCGGGGCCCCCAGGCCCCACGCGGCACCTCGCCCGGCCTCGCCCGGCCGTGCCCCGGCTCACCTGCTCGGGCGGAGCCCCGGGTCCACACGGCGCAGGTCCGTCCGTGTCCGGCGGGGCGGCCCGGACGGGGAACGCCCGCCAGGCGTGAGTGCCGCTGCGGCCCTCGGGCCGGCCACCCGCCGGGCCCTCCTCGGCGGCGGGCGCCCTGCCCCCCCGGGGTGCCAGGGCGCCGCGGCCGGAGCCGCCAGGCCCCGGACACCGAGTCTAAGGAGCACGCGCCTGGGCAGGGGCGGAGCGCGGCCCCGGCAGCGGGACCTAGAACTGGAGAACTGGAGAAACAGGCAAAGCAGGTACAGATAAATTTGTTTTTAATAAAGGAGTTAATTTTCTTTCAACCCTATATAAAACAATAGCAATTAAAAACTTCATTTTCTGAAAGTAAAATATTTACATATGAACAAGTAACTGTGCAAAATTTACATGAAAAAATGGAAAGACGGGATCTCCTAAAAGACAAAATAAAAGGCGTAACAGTTCTCAGGTGTCGGTAGAAAATACTGATCACTCAGC